GCGATAACTATTCTGTACAGTACTATTTTCAGATGACGATTGTAGTAATATATGAAGCTTTATAGCAATCGAACAATTGAAGATGCAATATAATGTTATGTAGTACATACGATATTGTGATTGAATAATTGTGTTTGACGTTGATATTGTTCATGTTGATAGTTTATACTAGATTAATCATTAATTAATTATTAATTGTGATGAAAATAATTGGTTTGATAGTGTGTATTACTTATGATGATGCTGATAATGATATTGACGATGATGATAATAATAATGATTATGATGATGGTGATGATGATAACAATGTATATGATAAAGATTTAGTGTAGATGCATGTTCGATTGATTGGAATCTTCACCACAAAAAAAATCGTAACTAAATCTTGCTGAAAATAATGCTGTTATCAACTGAGAACCCGCTATGCCCTTGATATGTAATCGACATAATACAATACACATTTTATTGGAAGCCAACCCCAACAAAACGTAATCCATTGACAACAGAGTTATCTTATTGTTATAGGCTACATGCAGGAATGGGTCCACCCGGTTCCCGGGGCAATGGATTATACGGCATACAATAGATTATACATGTCTGATTTTTACCCAAGGAATTCTATTATACAGTAGAATATTACTTGCATTTAAGGTCAACATAAGAACGGAATATTGTTATTATTATCATTTCACTGATATTGGAGTACTAGGGGTTTGTTAAATGTGATGATTTCTGACAATGAATGTATTTACAATGAATTGTAATCGCTAAGTTTTGATATTCAAGGTAAAATAAAGTTTTACATACTGATCTAGCCCTCATTTCCAATTGTTTATGTGCTTGTTTTATCAGTTTGTCTGTGCGCTTCTGATTCAGGAAAGCCGTGACTGGTCCTTCCTATTTGAAGCTTTGTTAAAAACATAATGATGTGTATTTTGTATTTGTTTGTTTTCATTTTGGAAGGCTACTGAGGTTGCATCCTAAACAATTCTTGGTAATGGTGGTCGTGCAGAATTATTTCAGGGACAGGTTCGAATTCATAAACAAGGAAACAAAACATTGATACCAAATCTAGGCCTACTATTTATAAGTTTTCTTTTGCTTTCAATACACTGATGAAGCCGGAAATTTTGAGTCGCCGAATTCGATCCTTTGTCCGGATAATTGTAAAGATTGTGAAGGAGTTGGTGGTTTAGACGAAAACAAACTAAAAATGACAAAGAAGATTAGTTGAAAAGTATATGTGGTTATTTTTGTTTGTTGAAAATACATATTACAGAGTACACCCAGGCTTACTGGAATTCCCGAGATTACACGTACGGAGAGTGAAAGTTTGTGTCGAATTTCATCATTTCCTCGGTGCCTCGAAACTATTATTCTTAAAGAATTATAATTGTGCATTCAGGGAAATTTAAGTCGTGTATGAAACTAAAGATCAATGACAAAAGAAATTTCACTTTGATTGCTTCTCGTTGGTTAGTTATGTGCGAATATTGATTATATGTATTAGCACGAGGAAGCAATGATTACGATTTGGTCAACTCAATGTGAATTCAATATGTACGCATACATGCATTGTGGCTAACTTAATTAGCACAACAATTTTATGGTGCTAAATAATTCGTGAGATTTTTACATGACAGCTCGACTCCAGTTAGATGTTTTTCTTGGTGATGATAATGATGATGATGATGATGATGATGATGATGGTGATGGTGATGATGGTGAAGGTGATGGTGATGGTGATGAGGATGATGATGATGATGATGATGGTGATAATGGTGATGAGGATGATGATAATAAGGATGATGATGATGATGATGATGATGATGATGATGATGATGATGATCAGTACACAAGCCTGGTCCAATGAAGGACTCATAATCTCGCATTGGCGTCGATGATGATGATGATGATGATGATGATCATGATCATCGTGATCATCAGGGTGATGGAAATTTTAATATACATTACTGTCAAAAAAGCAAGACTCCTTTAGATGAGCAGCGACCCGTCGGGTATTGGATCACCGAACTCTATTAATTCTAAGTTAATAAATCAGTCATCAATGTAATTACTCAGTTATCATTCATGGTCCGTTTCAGACGGGGGCTCAAATATATGACATCCCACACAGTGGCGTAGCGTGGACCCGGTCGTAAAGGGGCACTGTCACAGGGGGCGGGACGATTTATAAGATCTCTCTATCTATCTATCTAATTATCTATATCACTTTTTCACACACAAACACGCAGACATACTCACCCCCTCACTCTCCCTTCCGCTCTAATCTTTCTCTCTTTCTCTCCTCCCTCCCTCCCTTCTTCCTCTCCCCTCTCTCTTTATCTCCTCCTCTCTCTCTCTCTCTCTCTCTCTCCCCTTCCTCCCCCTCTGCCTTTTCTCATTTTAGTTTTCTTTTATCGCCATTCGAGGGGGGGGGGGGGGGTTCTACGCCATTTCATTCCATATATCGAGATCTTTCTTGGGTTCCGCCTAATTAAAGAACTTTATTCGTCGATATGCATATAGGTGTTTAATTCGTTTATAATCGAACGTGGTTTATTATTTTTGTTCCACCTGCAGTGCTCTTATTTCATTCAATGACAGACAATCGAGGCAATAAGTGGTGGATCTATTTTCAAAATATTGCTCAAGTGATCCGGAGTAATTTGTTAAAATCACAATGTACTTCCTACTTTCACTCACACGATAGATTTAGGCTGACCCGAACGAACACTTCATGTACTTTTTAACTTTACGAAAGCGAAGTGGAGGAATCATCAAATGAATCAAATAACACAATATTTAAAGATTGAAACGAGGAGAAATTAGACATCAGAGAGATAAAAGATCGTGGGAAATTGAAAGAGAGAGAGAGAGAGACATAGACAGAGACAGAGAATATCGAGAGTAAATTATGAGACATTTGTGAAATGAGATTTAAATAGTAAGAAGATAAATAGCAGAACAAAATCTTAAATGTTATCAATTAAATGAAAATGAAACGGGAATTCTAAACAAACTTGTTATCAACTTGATAAATGCCCCTCCCCTTCTTTCTTTTTCTTTCTCTCTCTCCCCCCTCTCTCTCTCTCTCTCTCTTTCTCTGTTTCTTTCTCTATCGTTTTGTATTATATTTAATATTATTGTTACTGTTATTGTTGGTGTTTTTGTCACTATCATGATTATTTTTATTCAATTGTTATTATTAAGTAGTAGTGTAGTAGTAGTAATAGTAGTAGATGTAGTAGTCGTAGTAGTAGTAGAAGTAGTAGTAGTATTAGTAGTAGTAGTAGTAGTAGTAGTAGTAGTAGTAGTAGTAGTAGTAGTAATAGTAGTAGTGGTGGTGGTGGTAGTAGTAAATCTTTATCCTTTTTTCCTCTTCTGTTTTAAAATCCAAATCATGTGTACATGTTGTGACAAAATATTCAGGAATATCACCGCAATGTGTTTCATTTTCCTGTTGCAGAGGCTTATACAAATAAAATACATTTCCAGTGATGACAATTAAAAAAATCTGAACGGTATTTAACATTATGCATGGTAACGCATGCATTTGCGGTTTTGGTGAGTCATAATTGCAATGACGACCTTCGTCATTGCCTTGTTTTCGTTCACATTCTGCCCCATTAATATTCTCCTTTTCCTTTTCCTTATCCTTATCCTTATCCTTATCGTCTGGAAATCGCATTCGTTTAGCACGTAGTGTTTGTGACTCCTAGTTAGGTGCTTTTCTCATGTCCTTTTCCTTTCAAATTTCATAGGCATGGTCTCTAACATCTCATCAAGGTCACTACATTCTTCGATTTTGGAAATCACTCATGCATGACCGTCCAAGCGCCATTTTGTCCGTTTCTGGTCCATTTTAAGGCCTTTATATCTTCCTTCCTATCTCCACTATCCTAGATCCTACAAACTTCTAACAAATTCCTCTAGATAGTCTGAGAGATGTTCTTTCATCTGCGACAGATGACTTGACCTTCAAAATGCCATCTTCATACTCGAAATTCAAATCTAAAACCGACTCCGTCAAAAATCTCTCAAGTTCTTGAAAAATGGACCCCTAAATAATCTAAAACTGCCATAACTTTCTCATATAAATTCCGTTTTGTATTTAAATCTTACAGTATCTTTATCTCATAATTGCACATAGCCATGCCAAATTTCACGCTCCAATGGCTTTGCACAACATAAATAGCGCCCTCTAAAGTTCTGGGAATTGGCTTTCTTTCTGTGGCCGTATCTCCATAATGGCTTGGCAAACCCGTACCCTTTTTGGATTTAGATACTTGAAGATATGCCCTTTCCAGCCATATACAAAATTATATACCCTAACACTGACCGACTTTGCGAAAAATGCCCTCCAAATTCGCCATTTTCAAGAAAATTGAGAAATAACTTCAAATTGCTCTAAATTAGCGATCTTTATACCTACATCAATGAAACTTGGCAGACATATGTATCCATATACGTGACAACTGTCCACCAAGTTTGGTAAAATTCGAATATGTCAGCGCAAAGTTATCGCCAAAAATGATGAATTTACTATGCATTACGTAATAGCGCGTTTAATGCGTGCAATACATTGCGCGAAGATAACAATGGTGTCAAACTGACCGCAATGAAGTGCCCTTTTGAATGATACCAAGTATAGTATATGTTCACACAGAAAATTGTGAATAAATCGCATTTGAACAAAGGTCACTACACGAATTCCGCCGAGTTTCCGCCCGAATCTAACACGTATCGGCTATGACGTCATTTTTTCGGACTGCTTTTCGCCCCTTAAACGTCCTTTTTTTTCCTTGAAAATTTGCAGTGACATGCCGAGTTCCAATACGCAGGGCACCTCTTGGCCGGATTTTTAAAATTGGTCAATGGGGCCATTTAAGACGCCATTTTGTCTTATAAATCTATTTTACATCACGTGTTTCGATAGGATTATCATAGAAAAAAAGTGAGTGGTTTACAATAACAATCATGAAATTCTCTTTCTAATGATACCAAATACGGCTCATAAAGAGACATAAAGAGAGAGAGAAAAAACAATTTAACTCCGGTCATAATACAGATCCTGTACGTTTTCCGCTCATGCATTACACGCATTGTCTATGGGGCATATCGGGTTCACGCTTTTGACCCCCAGAACGATCTGTATTGCAATGACGAACATGCACCAAATCCCCTTGGTTTTTGCACGCAGTGCTTGCGAGCCCTTTCTACGTCCTTTCCCCTATCCCAATTTCTTTCAAACTTCGTAGGCATATAGTCACTACCATCCCATCAAGGTCACTGTTGAGGCCTTTCTCTCGCCCTACCTATCTCTAACATCACAGAAGCTACAGACTTCGTACAAATCGCTCTGGATAGTCCGAGAGAAGCTCTTTCGTTTGACACGTAGAAACATGGCGTCATTGCACGCACATCGTTGTGACACGATTGCATTTCTAGTTTTATATTTGTATTGTGTGGGCTATTGGTGTCATTTCAATTAAATATTTTGGCCATTGTGGTTAAGGGGAATCAAAAGTGTTTGCAGATCATTACGGTGAATGCACATTTTATTGACAACACTACCGGAAATATGTTCATGACCTCAAAGTGACCTTCTCTACATGATGTAGCTCTACTATTTGTGATCATTTGCGAAAAGGGGTCTGTTCGTTACTCTGTCTCACCATAAGAAATTATAAAAGGGTTCCTGGAGCAATTTGGATACCAACAAATTAGAGATTTAGCTTATTAAGAGCTGCAATGCCAATTCATTTTCAGTGATAGAATCTGTCATGAATTCACGCCTTTTTTCTGATTATTCTCAAACTATCATATAGATGTCTCGTAAAACTCGGTACCCTCTCTACTCTCGATGAAACATGAAATTGTTTTAGGTCTATTTGATACTGGCGGTGATGATTGTGATAATGAAAACATCATAAGGATAATAGGCCTTACGATGATGATGACTGGGTATGATGATAACAACAATGATTACGATAAAAATACAAGTAAGTAGTAGTAGTATCAGTAGTAATCGTAGTAGTAGAAGTAGCAGTAGTATTAGTAGTAGTATTAGTATTAGTAGTAGTAGTAGTAGTAGTAGTGGTGGTAGTAGTAGTAGTAGTAGTAGTAGTAGTGGTGGTAGTAGTAGTAGTAGAAGTAGTAGTAGTATTAGTAGTAGTATTAGTATTAGTAGTAGTAGTATCAGTAGTAATTGTAGTAGTAGAAGTAGCAGTAGTATTAGTAGTAGTATTAGTATTAGTAGTAGTAGTAGTAGTAGTAGTGGTGGTAGTAGTAGTAGTAGAAGTAGTAATCGTAGTAGTAGTAGTAGTAGTAGTAGTAGTAGTAGTAGTAGTAATAGTAGATGACTACTACTAGTAGTAGTAGTAATAGTAGATGACTACTACTACTAGTAGTAGTAGTATCAGACTCTTAGTAGTAGTAGTTGTAGTAGCAGCAGCAGCAGCACCAGCAGAAGCAGCAGCAGCAGCAGTAGTAGAAGTAGTAGTAGTAATAGTAGTAGTAGTAGTAGTAGTAGTAGTAGTAGTAGTAGTAGTAGTAGTAGTAGTAGTTGTTGTAATAGTTTTCTTTAATATCCTTTTTTTAAATAACATGCGTTTAAATATCGCCACCCCTAACACAAAAACAACCGACTGTTCTATTATGCTTAATCGTGCATAAGATGTAAAAACCCGGTCTTGGTTTTGTATGTTTTAATCCTAAAATGGAACAAGCAGATTACAACTCCCTGCATGGACGAAGCAGCTTTGACAAAAGATGTAAATTGTCCAGCAGGATTATAAAATACGACCCTCTTTGTGAAATGTATGTAGGAGGGGGTTGAGGGAGGTAATTGCATTGTCCTTTGACAGAACGTTCAGAGAGAAACTGGCTTGTATTGTCTCTGTTAAATGGGCTGTTCGGAAGTGCACAATTAAAATAACTATAAAGATGACATGCAGGAAATGAAAGTCACTGCATCTCACACACGGAACACACCAACACACTCACACGCACACACACACACCACAAGCACAGAAATTATTTACACAAATAGAAAAAACCTTGACCATCACTGTCAGTGGTTTGTTGCCCAAAACCTCGTAAAAGGTCTGTCATAAAAGGGATTGCCCCTTCAGATCGAAAGAGAAACAAATCATATAGAACTAAAAGGCATTTTTTATGTGTGAAAATGAAGCATTTAGTAGCACGGTGGAACATTAGATTGTGACAGCATCATGCTGTCATATGGCTATCTATCAACATTGCACGTGATCTTAAGTACTTTCAAGAAATCACACTTTGTAAAGGGCAATAGACCTTGGCCCATATCAATTTGTTCTAAACTTTCTTAGTAGTGAGCTTACTTGTCAACCAACTATGTATATTGGCCCTAGTTTTATTGTTCGATTTATGCATGTTTTCATCCCAAACCCTTGGATACAAACTATTTGATTCACCTGCTATGCGAAATGTCATTCTTTTGGATGGAACTCATTTGCATTCATTGGTTGTTGCTATGACGGGCAAGCATCTGTCAAGCTTTCAGTCACGAGGAGAACCTTCTTTCCAAAATGATGCATAGAATTACAAATGCCTTTACCTCACCAATAGGCCGGTCTACTAACATATTCAAAGTAATGCATGATTTTTAAACACAGGTTGTTCTTGACAACCCCAAAACTTGCCTTAGGCGTGCCCGACATAACAACAAGTAATGTATGCAGATAGGATTCCTAGTATTGTGGTTCATTCTTTAAGATCAGCTTAATGGAATAGCTCGTTGATACATTGGTAAATTTGAATATGTTTGTAAGCCGGTCTATTGACATGTCTGAGAATGATACAGTGACATATTTTTGCCATTCGAACATAATATATACGGGCAGATCGACAATGTATTGAAATTACATCACGTATAAATAGGGCACATTGCCAGGGCGGAACTGTGAAAAGGTATAATTAATTAACATATGGCTCCGTTTAGTCTCATTTCACAACGCCCCCTATCGTCAGAGCATGATCAGAGCCAGCAGCCTAACATGTTAGCCTATGGACGTTTTTTTTTTAAATCGTTAAAAATTCATTTTTTGTTTAAACGAAAAGCACATCCACCCCGACGTACGTTATCACTAGCTCTTTCATTGGAGCCCTCATGTCTCATTGACTTTTGAAAGTTCACCCACCGTAATTTTTCAAAATAGGTTGCAAGCTCGTCATTGCCTATAATACACATGTGAAACAAGTCTAACTTTGGACTCAGTTTACCAAGCGATTTGAAGATTATAGGTCGAGCACACGAAACATAAAAAGCATGAAGTATCATAGATCACTTCTGCCTATTTCATTATGTCCATTTCATCCAACCCCCCACCGTAATTTTTCCATTTAGTAAAAGCAAACATTTTGCCGAGTTTAGGAAAAACATGAATATTCATGAACGGTCAGACAATACAGCCTTTTAGTACGTAACGTATAGTGAATGGGAATGGGCGATGATCCGTTCAGGAGGTAGAGGTCAGTGGTTTGTGCTGGCAATGTTCACGCGAGCGAAAATGAGACAATCGGAGCAATATGATAGACATACTTGTCGGAAGTCAACATTGTTTGTACAATTCAAGTATGCACTCCAATCCAATGTCATGGACATGGCAATAGACATGTAAGGCTGTTTACTAATTTTATGCATATCTTTTTATCGAGAGGCTCCCTTGACGACTGAAACGATAGGGATGCATTTTGCATACGATGTGAATCAAGGAGTTGATTACCAAGGGCAGTGCATACATTGAAATACATTAGTATAGTACAACTATGAAGGTGGACGTGGAGTTTATAACTTGATACTCAATCTAAGGGTCGAGGGTTCGAATCACAGCCCGGTACTAACGATCTTTGGCAGGACATTAATTCACAATGGCAACTCCCCGCCCAGGTGTAAACGGTTACCTGATAATTGCGTGGCCCTCAGGAGGAACAACTTTGATGCTGATGAGGCTTCCCTGGGTAAATAAAATTATTATTACGAAGGGGGGCTAGACGTTTCGAATCACGTCATTGTTTTAATAGTAACTCCACCGCAAAGGAACTTTGAGGGGAGAAAATGACTGAACAAAAACCAAATGAAATAGCTAGAGGGCGATATGAACGTTCAGTAGCAAAATGATTATGAAAAAGAAAAACGAAGTGACAAAAATTGGAGGGAGGGGGGGGGGGCTTTACATAATGTTTTTCATTGATTTCCAAGTGCTACACCCACCCTACACACACGTATACACTGACACATTAAATGAATTCAAAAGATGCGTCGATTCTTAAAGCGGAAAGATATGTTTATACAACCATCAACTCTTGGTACGTGCATAATTCCTCTATAGATAGATACTTGGCACACCCGCATAACTGGTGTAAGTGGCGTTATATGACCGCCCTGTTGTATGGACTACAGTACGGACCGACCTAGCCAGGGTATCACATTTTGCGAAATTGGATCTTACAAAATGTGAAGTATTTTCGTCTGTGGACACACAATAATGTGTATTAAAGAGCAAAAACCCACGGTAACAAGATCAACAGCAACAACAACAACAGCAAGAACGCAAAGACTTTCATAATTGGTATATAAACTTAAGGAGAATTTCAATACCCTTTTGTATAGGGCTATGCCATAGAAATCATTTTCATAATGAATGTGTAGTTGTCATCTTCGCACGTTTTAATGGGTTATTGAAACAGTTAACCAATTGTCAACGGGGACCGGGTGGCTCAGCTTAAATTCTTAACTTCTTTGTTTAACTCGATTTTGAAGAAAAGCTTAAACCCAGCATCGGGTTTAAATATTATTAAAAACAAACAAAGATAATGCTGCAACTTCGGGCAGCGCGGACGGAGCGCGCGCATCACTAACACTGTGCGTTCATTTGCATCCGCCTCACACTCACACTGTCACTCAGCTATTAAGGGTGCTGTCACGAATTGTTTATTGACCGTTCACTTAGCCGATTCAGTGTCAAGTACTTTCATATGAAACTATTCAACCAAGGATTCAACAGAACCCCGGAACAAGTCGAGGAGCCGATGAGGAAGTTATCAAAATTCTGTAATCGGTGCCTATCAGAAAAACGGTCTGAATGATTTTCCAGTGGGTGTTCGCTGCCTTCTAAACCTTATCTGAATTTGGCCAGGCGTACATGAATCCCATTGTCATATAAGCTACTTATCGCAACCCCGTCACTTTACAGTTTTCACGATGTCCGGCCCGACATCGCTCTCAATGACCACTGGATACATCTTCTCCATTGCATTGTGTATCACCATTTGTTCGAGATGGGCCGTAGTCGTCCATGGCTTCAACGTCGATACATCGTTCCCGTTGTACTTCACCCACGATGACACGGATAGCCAGTTTGGACTCTCACTAGCACTTCATAGTGAGGGAAAAGAGAGTGAGGGGAAAGAGAATATGTGAGTAATACAAGTTTTTAATTTTATCTATTTTATCTAATTGTTTATTCTTGTCCACATATGTGGAAATATGATTTCCAACCAGAAATAACAAGCAATACAAGAAATCAAGACAGAAAAATAAAGTACAATAGAAACACATACAAATACAAAAAAATATTTATATATACCCAAAGGGTGTAACTCTACATTGTCTACTCATATTTGTTATTCAATGCATGATAAATAATTAGTACTGGTCTTTCTTTTCCTTTAAACCTATTTGATAGCGCGCATACAATTGTTATGTAATGTTTACATCTGATTAAAGTAATTACAACATTGCCATGTTGTAAATAGATCATATTTATTTACCCAGCATAGCCACATCAGTATTAATACTGCTCTTTCTGCGGGCCCTGTAACTATTACTACCCATCAATAATACCCGCTTACTCCTAGATGGAGCCTGAGTGACAAATGTGGATTAAGGTCTTGCTAAAGGACGTTAGTGCCGGGCTGGGATTCGAACCCTGAACTCTAGGATTGAGAGTCGAGTGAGTGAATGAACCACGAAACCAAAATGTACCTCCCTTCACCAAGTAGTATCCACGTTATGTCATGTATATTTTAAATATAAAATGTGTATTATTGTAGTTATTGTATCCATCTCTTTTTTCAAAACTTCACTGTCTCCATGTATATATAACTTGTGTCATTTTTTTGTTGTTAGTATGTCATTTTAGTTTCCCCCTTTTATTCCGCTCCCGCTTCTTTTCTTTCTTTTCTTTCTTTTTTAACCTCAAAATCAAGTAAATATCATTTGGCAATTTACCAATGTTGTTGAAGGATTACGATTGACACAAGCTCTGCTTTGAAAATAACAGTTTCACTAGGCCTTCAATTTCAATTTGATTTACCGATTATAATGACATTTATTATATACAACCAAAGGTTTGAATTCATATATTATTCAGGCCCATCAATCCACATTCTGCTTAAGGTATCCATAAAATTAATGTATGGAAGATAAATGATGGGTTGTGAAATTGCTGTAATGTTTGGTAAGTGGTAATAGATTTGGTCTTATTGCGACTGAAATACCATATACTGGAGAACTAAATGCAAACCTTTAAACATGTTGTTTTGTTTTGGCTCTTTTTTTTAATATTTGGGGTGACTTATATTGACTTATTTGAGGCAATCGTGTATGTACATGTATAAGGACTAGATGCATGCATGAAATTACTCGGTAAATGCATCTATTTCATTATTTGCATGCATATTACTGTGGAATTATCTTGTTTCAGTACATCGGTAAATATAGGATGTTTGCCTGACTAATTCGGTAAACGTTTTATTATAATAAATCATCATGCATGACTGCAATCGAAACGCACGATTGAACACTTTAGAGGCAAAGGTCAGATAGCATTCAGGAATTTGTTTTCTTTGTTTGTTTTACCTGATTGCTAAGAAAGCATGCGTATGCCTGTAAGCATGGACCTACTACTGTAGTAGGTCCATATTGTTAGTAAACAAATGTAGGAACTTTGCCTTTCAGCGTTTCCGAGGGACTTGGTAATAAGAATTAATGCCTTACCAAAGGGTACTATAGCGCATCGACTTAATTTCGAAAACCGGGATATCCCGGTTACGAGATCACTGATCTACCATTGAGCCACCGCGCCTCCCGGAAATGGTACTTCAGTCAACAAAAGCCCACATCGTTAAATCCCCACCCCTCCCCCTCATATTTATATGATATAAAATTTGTTCAAGATTTACTTTCTGAACAGATAGGATTTGATAACTTAAGCTAGAATAAAATCCACATTATATGTTTACAATGATTTTAAAACGCGGCCACAACCTACGAGACGGACTGTCAACGAGATCGACAGTGTCTGTCTCATGTGCGTCAAGCCGTGACGCTCCTATAGCGCTCCAAAATTATGACCCATTTATGGATAACTGATGTTTCATATATATACCTGAAGATATGGCCTATATATACATGTATATTCAATTCTGAATGAACGCCATAAAACTACTACCAACAACAACAACATTGTGACCCCTGTCATAGCCGGGATATTGTTTCCATCGTTTCATGAAACGTTATAGTTACATCTTTACCGACATCCAATTGAAACTTTAATAACAATTTAATACTCTTATTACAATGGGTTGTTAACGATCTTGTACTTATGACAGTTTCGTGAGATGCTGCCCTGGATTTGTAATTAATTGTATGGACAATATTCTCATTCTGTGTACAAGGTCGTCGTGAAGGGAGCAAGTAAAGTAAATAAACAGGAGGCAGACTGAGGATAAAATGGCGGAATTATTAGAGTAATATTCCACCAATTCTTTGAAAGAAAAAGACAGAAGAGAGAACCCGAATAACGAAAACTATGTAGGTTATGTAAAAAAAAAAAAGGAGGGAAAGTTGGAAAGTGTAAGTGATATGTTCACGCTGTTACGTCAAGGGCGTATTAGATATCATGTACGTATAACTTCCTCTACTAGTCTGTACTGTGTAAATCACAGTACCGGTTAGGTCACAAATCTCTACTCAAAATATTTTAGTGATATGATCCGTTCAAGCTGTGATGTCAAGGGCATGTAGATACCATATACGTATAACTTCCTATTTGTCTATATTGAGGAAATCAGAGTACAAGTCACAAAGTCAAAATAGATCTACACAAAGTATTTTAGTGATATATTGTCCCCCAACCCCAAAGGTTTTTATCATGATGGCTGTTTATCGTAAAGAAGTTGCAATAACGGAGCGGCAAATGGCATGTCTATACGCAATCATGTTATATTATCGTAATGATATATTATCGTGATGTTATAATATAATGTTATATATACCATATTGATATATTATCATAATGTTATATTATCATAATGATATATTATCATGATGATATATTATCATGATGATATATTATCATAATGATATATTTTTATATTGATATACTATCATAATGATATATTTCCATAATACTATATAATCATAATGTTATAATATCATAATGTTATATTATCATAATGATGTAATTATCATAATGATATATTGTCATGATATATTATCATAATGATATATTATCATATTGATATACTATCATAATGTTATACTAACGTAATGTAATATTACCACAATGTTATATTTCCATAATGTTATATTATCATAATGTTATATTTCCATAATGTTATATTACCACAATGTTATATTTCCATAATGTTATATTATCATAATGTTATATTATCATAATTGTACATTTCACCGGGGCAATGGGTAAGAAGGTAATATGGTATTTGGTTCTAATGCCATATTGGAGACCTTTGGGTTGTCGATCCCTTTTCAGGGTGTCTGCAAGATAGAGAGATATGTAGTTACGATTACTATCTCGATGGTAAAGGGTGGTGGCTAAATGTTGCAAGAGATGGGCATATGGGACTAAACTTGTCAATAATAAAAATCTTAACTAGCCCTGTTAACAATGTCCATATTTGACCTCAAGGAAACAATACTAATAGTCAGGTTTTAAAATTTACCTGGAATGTTTCTAAACATAAAGTCGATCATGCTGAAAAAGGTCACCAAATCGTTGTTATATTTCCACAAGGTTAAACAAAATAATTAGAATTGGCCACCAGTAACGAATGGAGGTGTTGTGGTATATACACACAAATTAAATGAAGGTAAATACGAGGGGGAACTACATGTATGACGAGAGGTCATGTGGAAATTTGTGTATAGTGATGAGCAGTTAAAAAAAAAGAAAATAAAGTATTACGGAAGAATATAATTCCAAAATATCAAATATCAGATCTCTTGTATTGAATTCAAAAATATTAAGTATCAAAATTGATATAAAAATATTAAATGTCAAATATTCACGTATCAAATTCGAAAGTTGAATATCAGTGTGAATAGGTTCATGCATGGGTTTGGCTTGATTTACTATGACCTACCAAGAAACACTTCGCTGTACTGGTTACGAATTTCCAAACGGTTTTGAAATTCAATCGTACCCCTGCTACCAGCACGTCTGGTTTAATGTCACTTTTTCAGGATCCATACTAGAATTTTGGCCATCACAACGTGACAGATAATCTTCAGAAGGAAGTTTGCAAGTTGAAACAAATATATGTGAATTCCGCTTTCAATATGAGGCATTATCAATGCATTTCAACTAATCCTGGTTTAATGTTACACCTCGAAATCAAATTCGGGAGCAAACGTTGATACTTGGACAATTCCGGTTGCGACTGATATTACACACAAATTGGATAAACTGCATTATACCAGAAGTGTTTATTTGATTTGTTTTGTTAAACTCATACAGCTGTAAGCCAATACATGAACTATGTACATATATACATGTATATGTATATATAAATATAATTTTTTTTCTTGTACGGAGCAGCATTATTTCTTGTGTTTTTAAGTATTTTCTGGATCTCAGAGCGGAACTCAATACTTATTACGTTATCAAAATGCAGAAAAGAAGTTTTGTTCTAAATCTAACATTAGGGACTTTTAGATTTGCACGTCGACATGGTGGACTGCTACGTGTGACGTCCTTTAAGGCACTGGCAGTGCCTTAAAAGGACATCAAAGTTCCTTAAAAGGACGTCACACGTAGCAGTCCACTATGTCGACGTGCAAATTCCAAAGTCCCTAATCACTTGACGAAGGCTTGCGTAATGTATGTCGACGTCGACCTAATAAAAACTTTCAGATTTAAAGCATGAACATTATCTTCTTCCTCATTTTTTTAGTTTCATTCTATGAGGCCTTTAGGAATTATCTGTAAACTTTCACTTTATTTCTCACTCTTGTTCTCCTTTCCCCCTCCACACCAGGCACGTAGCCACGGGGGGCACGGGGGGGGGGGGCACGTTCCCCCCTAAATTTCCAGGATCGGTTGCACTTTTTTAGACCCCCTTTTTTTTTTTACCTCGATCGATTACATGTATGTGCCCCCCAAACATCAAACTCTGGCTACGTGCCTGCTCCACACACATATCCATGGCGTACTCGCCTATATGACTATAATCCGAGCTTGCTCTAGACTCTCCTTTGCCTTAGTAGTTCCAACGAACTTACGGGGTTGAAACTATTATTCATAATCATGTATAAAAACATTTCCTTGTTGAATCGATAATTTATCTGACATATCTCATAAATGTTTTTGTCAAGCATTATTCAAACGAAAGTGAAACATCACGGTCTTAATAGTTCCAAGATAACGAACTTACGGTGCTGAAACTATTTATCATAATCATGTATAAAAACAATTCCTTGTTGAATCGATAATTTATCTGACATATCTCATAAATGTTTTTGTCAAGCATTATTCAAATGAAAGTGAAACATCACAGTCTTAATAATTCCAAGATAACAAACTTACGGTGTGAAAACATAATTTTGCATAAAAACATTTCCTTGTTGAAACGGTAGTTTATCTACCATTAATGATAAACGCGTTTTCGTTCAAGGATTATTCAAATGAAAGTGAAATGTTGTTTATTCCTTTTGTTTCAACGATTCGTCTCAATACCTGGAATTGCATTGAAAGTACTCCTCAAGTATTCGGAAACCTATGATGATGTTCAACAGTAGCGTATTTGGACCTTGGCGTCGGGAGAGCTGGGGGGGGGGGGGCAAAGCACCCCAGCCACTGCAGCTGATCCATGTATTTCAGCAAGAACAATTCCTAATGATGTGTGGGCGGGAAGGGGGGGGGGTAGAGCGATGTTTGGTCTGCTTACGAACCCGTTTTGATAAGAGTGGCGGTATTAAACGAATTTATAGTCATTTGCGAACGGGCAAAGCGGACGAGCAAAATGAAATGAATGACAAAAGCAACTAATCCTATTAATTCTTATATATTTATATGATAATATTGCAAATTGACTAAAACCTTGGATTTGATCTGTGAGCATTTCATGATACCAGACGAGGTAATGTTTGTCTTCAACAGTTATTTTCTGGCCCTGTGGTCATAACTAAACATTAAATATTCCAATACTTTAGCATTTGAGGTAATGCATTAATTGGGAAAAGAAATGATTTGGTAAGTAGATGGACTACATAGGAAAGTGTTATAGAAAGAGCCCGGCGGCAGTCGAGCATAAGTCACGTGGTACTCCAGCCTGTCAATTGTCTTTCAGATCCAATACGAGACAATGACATTGAGTCGATGATAAAGTGCAGCAGTGGATTGGTGCAAACTATGATTTGACAGTTATGCCTGCTTTATATTTCGGGGAAACAAAAGGAAATGATGAGTTTTTATCAAACACCCTATTTAATTCATAGGAATAAAGAATAATTGCCTTATAAAACATATTCTGTATTAATTTGTTTTTCTCATTTAGAAACGATGACTAAATCCCAAACTTTACCCCTAGTTCCGGCTTTCTTGTTAGATTATTACAAATCGATAACGTGTTTGTTCTTTTTTACGTTGGATGGGGGAGGAGGAGGGGTAACTGCAGCAATGAGAGACGTATTCAATTAAGCGTATACCTAAATCTAGTCCTATGTCCGTCGCACACGATAAAGCCTATGAAAACGATACCGTTGAACCATGCGCCATTAATTCGACGCAACGTTTACAACGTTTACGTCGTTCGTCCTCTCGCATCTGCGCATGATGCGTCAGTCACTGACGCACATCCACACGTCAGACAGACTGGCGTTACGAGGGATGGTTTACGGCTGGGTAGAGGGGATTGAATGTGGGCAAACATTTCCTGCAAGGATGTATGCACAGAGCAGGGATCGAACCAAGAACCTTTCGTATGAGAGTCATCAAAATACCACGACGATATCATAATATTTCTCATTTGTTGGTGGTTTCATGCGTGGTTCAATAAAGAGAGTGCCCCCCCCCTCCCTCTCTCTCTCTCTCTCTCTCTCCCCCCTAGTCAATTATTCCCGTGTGTAAGGTTCGGCTTCATAATTATAATCTATTCTTTAAGCCACCGTTGTGCGAGGCCACCACAAGAGAAGATTTTTAAAAGAAAATGTCCATGATTTGTTTAGGTAGTGATAACAGAAGTTTGAAGCCTATTTACCTTACAATAACTCTCCTTCTCACTAAAATATCAGGTGATATTCATTTGCGGGTTATAAATCTGTCGGGGAGGGGGGCAAGCTGCCCAATCGCCCCTTCGCTCTACAATATTTGCCATCACAAAAAGGCATGTGGTGTTATTGAATAAAATGTGATACAGTAGTATGGAATATTAGCTTCCTTAACTTCCCTTTCGGAATGTATAAACGGAAATGCGTTACGTTTGATTGAATAAGGGACTGTCATTGATCGTAATTGATTCTATTAACATTATATCATACCATCCTGTCATCCGATTAGAGTGATTGTTTTCCCGGTTTCGTGGAATTTCTCTTCACAACGATTGTGATGTGGCCTTTAAAGTATTCCATGAAATCCTCCATGACTGATCATAAAACCAGCACAAAAGTAATTCGGATGATCTGTCCTCAATGGTTATGGATGTCAAACATACGTAGGAATTTCTTTGATATCTTATTGTTTATCACATTTACCCCGTATACGCTCAATTTAATACCATCTCTTTATCTATTTTTCATGTTTCTGTACAAAATATCCCTCGTCACATATACATGTAGTTGCGTGTGGTTATGAAAATGTTATCGATTTTGCAGTTAGCGAGTCAATTTTATTTAATTCTTTGTATATTTTGATTTGTGTGATTTTATGTCAAGCAATACATTTAAGCGCCACTGCATTACTTATAGCTATACTTGCACCCTCTATATAGCAAACAATGCCTAATCGGTGACCATTGGTCCCCCATGGTCCCCTTTTTTCTTGTGTTAATTGAGAGCTGATTTGATGAGGTAACCACCTGTCAGTGACCATGCAGGGAGGTCTAAACCCTCCTGACCAAACTAGTGCAGAGAGGCTTTAAAAACAAATAGCCATGCTGTTGAACGAAAGAGATGGAGGTCAACAAGGATGAGTGGAGTACAATGAAGTAAAGGGAATGTGATGGTGTTAAAAGGGCAATGAAAATAAACTGCACATCATATAAAGGATGATGTTAAGGATATAAATAATGCTGTTATAACTCGGGTCTCTCTCTCTCTCTCTCTCTCTCTCTCTCTCTCTCCCCCTCTCTCTCTCTCTCTCTCTCTCCTCTCTCTCTCTCTCTCTCTCTCTCCCTCTCTCTCCTTTCTCTCCCCTCTTTCTTCTCTGTCTCTCCCCTACTCTCTCTCTCTCTCTCTCTCTCCTACTATTCTACCATTCTACCATCTTCTTTTATCCATAGGTTACTGGTAGGGGCACCTCGGGCCATGTCATCGGGGTATTCCGCGGACCAGTCGATAGTAAGGAGCGGGGCCCTCTACAAGTGCCCCATAGATACATCGATCGGGACACGGGCCGATTGCCAGGAGATAGTTGTGGATACAACAGGTGAGTTGCGTTTCCTTTCGTGTCTGTTTGGCGGCAGTATATTACGGTCCCTCGTCGAATTTGGTGATAGGGCTAAAGTCGGCGAGGAACGTCGCTTGTTGGCCCAGCATTGACGAATCTTGGGGGAACCACGAGGGGCACATGGCCATACTCTCCCACCCCACCCCTACCTCAAAGCAAAATTCAACTTGGCATGCCTTAAATACACAAATAGAAAATGTGCTCAAATTTGTGTAAGCGCTCTCTTGCCCCCTCCCCTCCTCCCCTTCCCCTCCCCCACATCCCCTCCCCCTCCCCCACATCCCCTCCCTCCTCCCCCACCTCCCATCCCTCCTCCCAGTTCTGATTGCTTGTGAGAGATTTACGGATCATTAGGTGTCCCCGACTAGGCCATTTTCGGGGAGTTGTCCTAGGGGGTAGTTGTCCTGGGGGAAGTGGTCCTAGAGGGTGATTGCCCGAGGGGGTAGTTGTCCTAGGGAGTAGGTGTCCTAGGAGAAGTAAAGAGTCAAGTCATATACAAATAGAAAATATGCCTATTTGATCAATTATTTCTGTTTGTTTGTACTTTTAAATTTTTTCTTTTGTAACGTCTATTTCAACAAGGAAATAAACTCGCATGCTGTTAATGGATTATAATTAGAAGTTATACAACATTCCTTGTTTATTTGGCATAACAGACAAACTCGAGTTGCAAGTAATTAAATAATGAATCATAGCCTATTGATAAATCTTCATAGTTTAATGCGAATCACGTACAAGAATAGTCAACCCGTGAAATTTCATCGAGAAAATGATTTTTCTTATTTGAAGTAGAATCTAAAGATATTTATTGGGTAGCAGGCTGTATAATTATAGACAAGACAAAATAATTTGATGGAGTTACAAACTTTTCATTGAACATGATATGTATCTAGCAAACCTGTCTGGAGAGTTGCAAAGCTCTCGTGTATACAGAAATTAGATACGAAGAGTATCATCGATACCTTTACTAATTACAGTGTGGTTTAATATGATAAATGACAATTGAAAACGTACAAACGAGTTTTGCTTTCGCCCAAAAACTCATTATGGTTGACTATAATCGTTTTTATATCATTAGTCTTGACATTGGATTTACTTAAAGCAATATCAGATTTCAATAATATTTGTGATCAATGTGTAAGCATAGCTCACCTTACACGCACTTCTATTGTTTGTATGTTTCCTTGTAATGTTATTATCGCGTCGACAGACTGAGCTTCCGGGTATCCTGCAAATATTATTCGCTTTTTAGAAAGCACTTGATTTTAATAGATGCAGACTATAAATCGCATTTGATACAACAATGACTTGGCCTATGTTTGTTCTTAATTCTGGATTTCTGGTTATTTTTTCAAATATAATCATAAAATAATTAACTGACATGACGTAGATATACTTTTTTATAATATTCCTTACACAGTCAATTTGTTATATATTGTAAACGTTAAGAAACGGCAAAGGTGATCATTTTAGACAGGTCAGCGGCCACTTTGATTTCTGCCATTCTCGCGTATTTAATAGTTTTCGCATGTTTCAAGTCAGGTAAATTTCAATTTACGTATATTGTAGAAGCAATGGGTAATAACGAGATCCTAGGGGCTTGTGCCTCCAATGAAAGTAAGAGCATAAAGGAGAAAAAGAGAAGGATGGCGGCCAGGTACGTAAAAGGAAGACCCTTAATAAAAAAAGATATATATTACGCGTACTGTGTAATAGAGAAAATGGTGTGCCCCCCCCCTCCCGTGATATGAGATACTTTATGTAAATGTTAGCCATGCATTTATTCGTGTAAGCAACGAAATGCTACCACAATTCTTGTCGTTGTCAATATTGAGACAAATAAAATACATTGTCTACATGATGTTGTACGCCATTGTATTTTTATAGGGAATGAATACCTGGACACTAACAACCCGGACTTCCAGTCAACGAATGCTTCAGGTCAGTGGTTAGGGTCTACCTTACAGAGTGGAGGCCCGGATGGATCAGTCGTGGTATGTATACTCATAACATCGGTTCAAAAGTACTACCACTGATGAGGATGATGATGATGATGATGATAATGATGATGATAATGGTGGTGATGAATATGAGGATGATAAGTAAATATCGCCATTATCCATTCTTATTAAATGCTCAAGGCGCTTCAAAATATCAGGGAACACATTATATCATGACAAAGGAATCGTGTACATGATGATGCATGATGATGATGATGATGATGATGATGATGATGATAATGATGATGATGGAGATGGTGAGGGTGTAGGTGATGATGATGATGGTGGTGGTGGTGGTGGTGGTGGTGGTGGTGATGATGATGATGATGGTGATGATGACGGTGGTGGTGATGATGATGATGATGATGATGATGATGGTTGTGGTAATGATGATGATGATGATGGTGACGATTATGACGGTGGGGGTGATGATGATGATGATGATGATGATGATGATGGTTGTGGTAATGATGATGATGATGATGATGATGGTGATGATGATGACGGTGGGGGTGATGATGATGATGATGATGATGGTTGTGGTAATGATGATGATGGTGGTGATGGTGGTGGCGGTGGTGGTGGCGATGATAGTGATGGTGTAGGTGATGATATTGATGATGATAATGATGATAGAGATGATAATGGTAAGGGTGTAAGTGATGATGATCATTGAGATGATGATGATGATGATGATGATGATGGTGATGATTGTGATGGTGGTGGTAATGATGACGATAGCCAATCAGGTTCTACCCTGCAGAGTAGAGGCACAGACGGTTCAGGGTTGGTTATTATTAAATAATGAATGATATCATTTATACCTAACATCATCTTACAGTTCTGAAACTGATGATGAGAACAAATAATGAGCAATATATAATGTAGATTGCTTTAAAGCCAACGTAGATGTACTAGGTGATATAAATCCAAAATGTTCAAAATTATCATTTTTTTATCTCCTTGGTAATCTAGGTATGCAGACCGCTGTACTCCTATCAAACTATGAATCAAAATCAAGATGTAGACCGATACTTACGAGGTGGCTGTTTCGTCATCAATGGGGGTCTGAGATCACCCGATCCCGGTCTTTTGAACACAGCTGTTAATTTCAACCCTTGCGCTTGTGAGATTTGACTTTCTTTTGTTCTTTCTTTCTTTAATTCTTTCTTTCTTTCTTTTTACTTTCTTTTCTTTCTTCTTTAAACAAAAATCTATGCTCAATTTAAATGTGATAGATTTATAGACAGAGGGTTCTACATACTTATTATCCAGTCTTCGTACCAAACAACAACAAAGATAATGCCGATTAAGAGGCTGTAATGACTACGAACATTTAAATCGTTATTATTCATGAAAAAAACAATTCACTCAACACAAAGTTTTGCTTTTTTTTCTGCTCATGTATAATGTCTTATTCCTCAAATCCCTGATTATTATTTTTTGTTTAAAGTCTCACCAAGAGGCGACACGGAACTGCTACGGGTTAATAAAATAATTCTGCGTCACCCATAAGTCTGATTTTGCCTTCATACATTTGTTTTATCATTGTTAGCTAACTCGGTGGCTTATCGCACCAAATACCGTTGCGAGTTTGGTGGCAGCGCTGCTGTGAGAGATGTAAGTAATCTTCGTGTCCGCTGCACACGAGGCGTTATTATGATTGCGTCAGTGGCCTGCGCTAATCAGCGTCCTGGCCCTGTAACACACTACTAAACAATCGATTGTACATCACGATCAATTGAAAAATATCAATCAAATCGCTATATTTTCTTTGAGTTGCGGGGCCAGGATTTTAAAGTGAATTAGAGCATTTGCTAGTACATATAATTCAATTCAAGGATTGAACCGTACATCTTGCATTCCTCTTTTGCGCCATGTCACTGACGTACAGGGCCCCTCTTTTACAAAGAGTTACGATCGATCCAAATCAATCGTAAGTCCTCCAATCAATCGCAAGTTTACAGTCTCCTATCTCTTATGTACATATTTACGATTGATATCAATCGCAAATAAGTTACGATTGATATCAACTCTTTGTAAGACGGGGCCCAGGGGTATGTTGCATAACAGACTGCATAGGTCACTACGACATAAAATGACGCCTCGTGTTCAACGCACCTCACGCGATTTCAAGTCACGCCCGGTTCCGGTGTTCACAGCATTAACAAAAAACCTTCCAACCGGTACCAATTTAACACTTGGGTGGAGAGTGGCAAATGTAGATTAATGTCTTGCCAAAGGACATTAATGCTGCGGCGGGACTCGAAGTGCGGACCATATGTAATCTTCGGTCCAGAAAAGTGTCCACTAGACCACGGCACTTCTGCAACTGATAAACTGCCCATGCAGGTATCTAAAACCACATACATGTACTTAAACTTGGTTTTTAGATGATACAACCTGCTCATATCAATAGACTTAATAAATTCTTCATCTATTTGTTCATCTAATTTGTCCATCTAATTTGTCCATCTAATTTGTCCATCTAATTTGTCCATTTTATTCTTAATTTAACTTCTTTTTTTAATCCAAACAGACTAAGATTGTATACGGTGCTACCGGAGGCTGTTTGTGGAATGGTAAGATACAAAATTTCCCTCACAGAGCAAAAATTATGTTACCTTTAATACAGAATAGAAAAAATACGACTGGTACATGGAATATAATAACATGAGTACAGGAGAATTCATTAATCAATTATCAATGTTATTATCATTATCAATATCATTAAAAATAGATGTAGTAGTATTAGGAGGAGCAGCAGCAGCAGTATTAGTATTTGGCGTCATCTGTGCGTACGTGAGAGGGGAATAATGAACTGAATCACTGTAACCCTCGGGTCTCTCCTCCCGTTATATTGGGAGTTTGCAGGTGGACCACTGCACCGGGGTTTCCGCCTTATCTCATACGAATAATGCAGTGGGTTTATATTGACACCTACGCGGGGCCCCATTTAACATCCTATCCGAGAAATTGAGTGCTTTCCGCTTTAACCTCGCCTGCGTCTATGAAACCAGGGAGTGGCATCTATAACACACAAAGCAGGCTTCGGTGATCCGCCTCGGTAGAAGTTGAACCGACGATCTTAGGTTCGACAGGTAGACACTTTAAAGACCGTCTGAGACTAATGTGTTCATATTCTTAGACTTAACTAATGTTTATTTCATGACCAATGTGATTTATTTTTCTCTCGTTCTCTTCAGGTCGTATTTGGTACACAAATGATGGGATTACCGATGCGTCTGCTCTGTTCTATTTTCCACAAACATGCCGCTTTAATCTCGATTTTGAATATTACTTTGGTTAGTCAACAGACGTCTCAAATATCTTAGATTAATTATCCAAACGTTTGGGTATGTTTGTTGGTGTTTTTTTTCTTCTCAATGAGGGATCAATTTGGTTGTTACTGTATATTTATAAGTTATTCCTAGACGTTCTTCATGTTGAGACGTTGAATGGAAGTATGAATGGGGGAATGCTGGTGCGATTTAATAAATTATCCAATATCGAGAAAGCCTTCTTCTTCTTCTTCTTCTTCTTCTTCTTCTCTTCTTCTTCTTCTTCTTCTTCTTCTTCTTCTTCTTCTTCTTCTTCTTCTTCTTCTTCTTCTTCTTCTTCTTCTTCTTCTTCTTCTTCTTCTTCTTCTTCTTCTTCTTCTTCTTCTTCTTCCTCCTCCTCCTCCTCCTCCTCTTCTTCTTAATCCTCTGGTTTACCAGGCATCTATTCCATCCAATAAACATTACAAATTGAGTCCTAAATCCAACACATGTGGATAGGGTGAGGGAGGCAATTAGTGCTTTGCATTGTATGTATTTCAAATCTAAAACAGAGATTAACAGAGATTGACAAATATCCTTCATGAGTAAATTTTCGCTTTCAAAATAAAATCAGTCTATGTATCATTGCAACTGAACTGTTGAGTGGGTACAGTACTTTATTTCATAGTTTAACTTTTTTTAAAGACGATATTTTTATATCAATTACGTTTGCTTTTTTAAACAACTTCGCAGATTCGGTATATTGATATATCTGTTATCATATTCTAATTATTGTTTATGTTTTTATTGACAGGTCACGCTGTTGCATTTGGAAATTTTCGGGATGGCCCCACCTTAGAAGTTGCCATTGCCGCACCACGCTGGGATCATGGATTTGGGCGGGTTAGTAAGAGTATAAATTCGTTTTGACTTGAATCATGCAGACGGCCGTCGCCATGGATACAAATTTTCGTTAGTGTTATCCTGATTTGCAAAGAAAAATCCTGTACTTCCTTGATGATAATGATGATCATAATGTTAAAAATTGTAATAATTACAGTGTTTTGATATAACGTTGATCATATCTTTCACTAAAGTCTTGTAGGTGAACATGAGTGGCCCTAATACGGATGCCTGAGGGACACCAAACCCTTGAGGAATTCAAAGCAACATTTTGACAAGATTATTGGAGAAGTGTCTAGAAAATTGCTAAATGCATGTATTTTACACATTTTTCAGATGTGCAATGTGCAAAATTCATTTCAGTTGTAATTTTAGATTTTGTGGTTTGCATTCCAAACTGTCATTATGTAACGACAATGTAATGTCCGCCTGAAGTTATGACTTATTTTCCCTTTATAATTGCCTACTTTTGTTTGTAAATAGGTGTTCTTGTACGATGATGCCTTCATGGAGTATGATATAATCACTGATGGCGATTTAGCCACGTATTTTGGCCATGCCTTAGCTACTTCGGATCTCAATAACGATGGGTAGGTTTTTGTCATTAGGGACTTTTAGATTTGCACGACGAGAACGTGGACTGCTCGTGTGACATCCTTTTAGGGCAATGTGACGTCACTGCCAGTGCCTTAAAAGGACGTCACATTGCCTTAAAAGGATGTCACACGTCTGACGTCGCAGTCCACGTTCTCGTCGTGCAAATCTAAAAGTCCCTATATATCATTAGTTTTGAAATTCTGGGCTTTCTTTGCAATAAAAAGATTGACGCATAGACATCCAAATTATTCATAAGTATACATTTTAAAAATATATTGCCGATAAAGCTATGGTCACAAATCAGAGCAGCGACCGACCGATCAGTAGCCTGCTCGGTCGCTGCTGGAATTTAGGCATCGCCCAGCGATTAGGTCGGTGCCCGGGCGGCGACCGCCCAGGCACCGAGCGTATTTTGGGCGGCGAGTGAAAAGTGAGCAGGCGCCGCCCAAATTTTAATTCCGCGCTAAAACTTCAGCGGCGACCGAGCGATGCCCTAAAAACGAGCGGTGCCTGGGCGGCCGCCGCTCGGTGGCCGGGCAGCCGCTGGGCAGAATTGGTTAAAAACTCGCCGCTCGGCCGCCGAGCAGGTTACTTTTGGATAATGTGACCATAGCATTAGAGAATAAGCCACATCGGAGAAAGCACTCGTACAAATGACAACCAAATATCCTCGGATTTTTTACACATGGAGACTTCCCACAATTTTAGAATAATCACTGCCAAAGGAATTGAGGTGCTTAATGAATAAACATTGGTTTGCCCTCTTGAATTACCTCTTGAATACCTTTACGTGTGTATCAGAGAATATACCGTCGGTGCATAAATGAATAATGATCGCATAGTCCTAACTTTCATGAACACGTATCCAGCAGGCGTCTCGATGGGTTTATACACTTTTGTACAAATGACCTTCTGCCTATGAGCGGAAAACGACAATTGTAAATAAAGAGAGGATAGAGATAAGTTTATTTGTTTTTAAGAATGAAAGAAATAAAGATTACTCTATGAAAATATTTAGAATATTTTCCAAACTACGAATCCGACCAACTCAGGGCCAATTCTGTCCCCGAATCGTGTGGTATTTGCTCAAGTCCTAGGAGAAGCTACATGTAATTAGGCGGTCGTGTTGGCACAAAACATAAACTAAAGTTAGGCATAAATTTGCCAAAGGTTGGTAGCCTTTGTTGATGTCGAAATGGTGCAGCAGCTTCAAGAATACATACGACGAACATCATTTACATTTACAATGACGTAATGACACAATACTTCTTGAACAACCTCTCACCCACAAAAGATTTGATGATCTGGTCATTGGTGCGCCAATGTTTACTGATGAGGAGAGATCAATAGACGCTGGATGGGATGTTGGGAAAATCTTCATATACTACAACGATCAACAGGTAAACACTCTATAGCAAAAATTTGCTTCAATCGAGATCTGGCAAATTTCACTTTAGTATCTATTCACTTATTTGTTGTTACTTTATTCAGATATTTATTTAGTTATTCATTCATTCGATACATATTTGTCTATTCATTTATTTATTCATCATTAATATAAATTTTTGTTAATATATTTATTCATTTATTTATCTTTTTCTAAACATTTTTTATAAATTTCTTCATTTTTTTATGTTCGTTTATTCACTGTTTGTTTGTTCATTCATTCATTTGTTTATTAGATGCGTAAATGATATCGTTATAACTAAAAAAATTGCAAAATCTTGCAAAGTTATGTGCAATGCGTATATTTAAATCGCGTTCGATATTTATCTTGTGTTTCGCATTGATGTCACTGTACCTATTCGACTTACGTGATATACAAGAAAGTCAATACGTTTTTTTTTAATTGAGACGTTTTCCCTAAGACTATCTATAATTGTTGCTACAGGGAAGTTTTTACTTCGATGATAATGACGTCATCATTGGGACTGGTGCTGGCTGTCGCTTTGGCTATTCTATCGCCGCTTTGGGCGACATCAACCAAGATGGATTTAATGGTGAGCCACGTCTTACTTCTTGATCTATTTAGAATTTAAAGTAAACAAACACGATTTGTCTATTAACGGTCAATTATTATTCTTTTTGATCCAACATTTCTTTCTGAAAATAACGGTACAGTAAATTTGACTAGTAAAGATAAACAAATCGGAATTGAGGAAAAAAAATCTGTCTCTCTATATACGTGTGCCCTCATGATTTGTGGGTCTTTATTTCCTTGACTCACCCAAACTCCGCAGAACTGTATTTTGATATTCATTATCCAGTCTCCTTCCCCCTTCTTCCACCCACTCCCCTTCCCTTCCCTCCATTTCTCATTCTCTCACTCCCTCTCACTCTCTCCCTCTTTCTCTCTCTCTCTCTCTCTCTCTCTCTCTCTCCCTCTCTCTCTCTCTCTCTCTATCTATCTCTTGCCTTGCATTCTCTTATCTTTCTTCAATTACTTTTCGCATCCTCATTACTTCTTTTAAATTTTCTTTATTAGTGTTTTATCATGTATTTGTTTCCTTTCTTATCTCTCAACTTGGACCCGTTTGTAGACTTGGCTGTGGGTGCACCCTTCTGTAATGGCGGTAATGACGGAAAGGTTTTCATCTACCACGGATCAGGAATAAACCTACCTCTCAATCTCTCACCACAACAGGTTAGTCAGTCCCGATCGAGGACATCGTTACGGGAGCTAGGGCAGACGACCCCCCCCCTCCCTCAGCCTTCCCCACAGCCCTCCCCACCCTCGCCATAATTTGCCGAACATGCGCCCCTCCTTTTCTTCCCTCCTTTTCTCCTCTCCCTCTCTCATTCTCCCTCTCTCATTCTCCACACACAACACAGACAGAACAACGTTCTACCTTTTTTTTGGGGGGGGGGGGTGGATAACAATGATGAAGAGCGATGGATAAGGAGAAGAAGAAGAAAAGGAGAAATAGAAGAATAAAAAAAAGAAGAAGACGGAAGAGGAAAAGGAGAAGGTTTCAGTAAAGAGTTAGCGAATTAGATCCCAGTAGGATACATGTACGCTTATTTTCCGCCTTCCCCCACAAATGTTAATCCTTCTTTCTTAGCATACATACCTAATCACGTTAACCATTATACATTTCATATCTCCTGTAGACCTTGAGTCCGTCGGTCTTAGGGAGACCCTTGAGGTTCTTCGGCTTTGTGATGTCAGCAGGACTTGACGTTGATCAAAATACATATCCGGGTGAGCTAAGAAATAGCTAAAACATTTGTAATAAAAATATATAACTAAAAACTTTGAAATGTGGATTTACAGAAGAATGATGATAATATACTGGAAACGAATGAAAACCAACAGAGAGATATTGCACATGGCAGGGCGTAGGCAAATTGCAATGGTAGGATTAGTTTAGGAAAGAAAGTCAAATACTCTGGTCATGTTAAAAGGCACCAAAGCCTCTAAAAAAATTGTTGGAGAGAAGAAGGAAGTAGACCGAGAGGTAAACCCAGAATCAACTGGGAAGAGAATGTCAAGAACTGGAGTGGACTAAAAACTGCAAGAGTACACCAGAATGGCAGAAGATAACATGAAATGGAGAGATCTTGCAATCAACCTCCAAACCGGGAGAAGATACTTACACAGGTAGAACTAAAAACAATTATAGAAAATAATGAGCCCGATATCCGATGAGAAAAAACATTCTCCAATTAAAAAGATTTTGCAGATCTCGTATATCATGGTGATATTTTTTTTACATTGGTCTATTTTTTAATAATACATTTGATAAATCTTCAGTTTTACACAAGGTAATTTCCTGATATTTATAGTGTGTATGCTTTATGATGTATTTTGATAATTTTCAACAAATTATATTTATATATGGGTAGGGAAGAAGTCAACATAATGTTTTTGAGGAAAAACCTTCAGACCGAGCAATAATTAGAGAGGTCGATAAGGTAGCTAACTAGAGAGACAAAGAAAGAGAGAGAGAGAGAGAGAGAGAGAGAGAAAGAGACAGAAATAGATATAAAGAGAGAGAGAGAGAGAGAGAGAGAGAGAGAGAGAGAGAGAGAGAGAGAGAGAGAGAGAGAGAGAGATACATACATGTAAATAGAGAGAGAAATCCGGTAACACATCAACGAAACGTTATTGTCTTTTAACATGTAAATCACGTCGGATTCACATTTTTAGTCACTAGCAAAATGGCGCTAAATTAAAAATAAATAAACTTGCCTAAAATATTTCATAGGGTTCAATCATATAAAGACTATTTCTTATAACAGAGAAAAGTGGTAAAAAGGAAACTTTTTGTTATCTCTACCTCTGATCTCTTCTAGATTTCGCTGTTGGAGCACACGAGTCTCAAACCGCGATAATCTTTCGGTAAGCAAACATCCAAACAACATGAATATTTCAAAATATTTAAAAGGTGTATCGGTAGAATTGTTTGTTCCTCATACGATGTGAGATCTTATGCTTCTATATATTACACGATATGTCAACACCATATGGACAACGAATTGAGATAAAATAATTTATATAAAAACTCATCTCCTGACATATATAAGAGTGCACAATCTTGGTTTGGCGAGAACGGGTCGGTTGTTCTCCCCTCCCCCTACCCCACCATTCGCTTGGGGTCGAACTGATTTTAAATCGTTTCTTGTTTTGTTGAACAGGTCGAGAGCAGTAGTTTGGACCGTTGCAGAAATATATCCTGAGGAGAACGCCATTGATCTGGATGTACAGGATGAGACAACATCAAGAGGTGTTCTGGTGACAGGGTAACACAAAACATTATGATTCGAACTCTGACAATTTCCAATCAGAATTGTATATTATTCACTCTCTTTAATGTCTATCTCTCCCCCTGTACTGCCCTTCCTCCCTTTATCCACCCCTCCCCACCCCCTTCTCCCTACATCTCCCTCTCCCTTCCCCTCCCCCTCTCTCTATCTCTCTCTCTCTCTGTCAATCTAGTCTTCATCTCCCGATCTCCCCTCTCTTCATCCTATCTCCTTATTCCTCTAATACCATACGCCTTTATGTGATATTTTCATATCTGTTTCGATTTTTATATCTGTTTCGATTTTTTTTCTTCTTTTATTCCTAAGGTTTAATGTTGTCGTGTGCATTCACTACATGGGTCAAGGATTACCAGCTAATTTAGGTGAGTAAAATATAAAAACACACACACACACACACACACACACACACATACGGGGCAGCGGGGTAGACAGAGGTACGAGGGGGCGTGAGACCAGTCCCCCCCCCCCCCTCTCCACTGAATGGCGAAAGAATAACGACCCAGAAAGACATTGACAGGCGAGTTGAAAAGTGAAATTAAAGAAGACAGTACGACCCTCCCATACCGTCCTGCTAGTCAATGACCTTGGTTAATTAGTCATCTACAACCGTCCTTATTATGCCAGGGGTGTTTCACAAAGACTAAGATAAACTTTATTAAAGTTGGACTTAACTATTGGCAGGCCATTCATGCCACTAGTTTCTCTAACTATTCCTGGCATTGGTTTCTCAATTTAGGTACAAAACGTGGTCACAAATCTACAGAATTTACCTTTTTCGATAGTTCATTATTGAAGGAAAAAATATTATCTAAAGATCATAATTGAGAGACCAATGGTGATAGCAACCAATGGCATGAGCAGCCTGTCATAGAACTTAAAGTCGATCTTAGTCTTTGTGAAACACTCCCCTGGAGTTTACCAATAGTTTGTCTACAAAGATGTACAGTTTACGTGAACACACTATGAAAATATCCTGTTCCCTGTGTGCTCATGTTCCTCCTACTCTAAAAATATTTCATTCCCTTCTTCTTAAGTTGATTAGTTATCACGATGTCGTTCCTTTTTACCAGATTTTTCATACGAGATTGTCTTGGACTCACTGAGACAAGTAATCAACCGTCGAGCTGCATTCATCACTAACAACATCGCTACTCTTCGCCATCAAATCAGTGCGCCAATTGAACAACGGACATGCATGACACATGCTGCATATATTCAGGTCAGTAGCCATTGTTACAATAAGAACATTATGTCCGTGGCACACGATGCGTCATTTGATTGACGCAGAACTCCGTCAGTATTTGTTGACGCTGGTTGACGCACCTTGTAAAGGTGATAATATAAAAACAAATGTAAAATGAATTGTGCAAACATTGCGTTTAATTACTTGTTTGTGTGCTAATTGTATCCACATGTTTGATTAGTGCAGGTGAAAGCGCAATCGAATTGACACCTCGGGTGAAACTACATGGCACGGCAAAGACAATGCAAGTCGCTGACGCAGTCATGTGTCAGCAAAATGACGCCTCGTGTGCATTAAAGATACTATGTCCCTTTTGCAGCCAACATCAAATTCTGTAGAACTTTGCAGCAATTATGAATATGTCATGTATGTCCTATCTGTGAAATTCAAACATTAGCAGTGTCCTGGTATGGTCGTTATTTTCTCACTAAAAGACATTTCTAAGAATTTTTGTTTTGAGGGTAGCATTAAATTAGTATTGTCTTTCAAATGATGTTGGAATTTAACCTCATTATTTTTCGGCCTGTAAATGGGACATACCTTTAATAGTCATTAAACGGGACACTAAAATTACATAAAAATGATTTGAAAGTAATGCAGCCAACCAATTAAAACGGAAATGGGATCATGTTTCAAAATCTTGTAACTAGACGTAAAATGTTTTTTTATTATTATTAAGAGATAAATGGATGGATTCATGTATTTTCACCTTCCCGACTTCATCATGCTCAGAAGAGAATTACATTCATGTATTCTAGAATATGTTAAGCAGTATTAAATTAAACATTTTCTATTATTTCCTTTTGCAGCCTACCATTCGAGACAAGCAGACCCCAATGAGTCTTCGGCTGATTCACAGTGTGGCTCAGACATCTCAATCAGACTCTGCTGTACAACCAATCATGTCTAACGCCGTCAATAACCAGACACTCAACTCGGTAAATTGTATTATATTTGTCTATGGTACTCTGGGTCCCACTAAGGGAGGGGTCAAAAGAGGTTCCAGAAAAATATTTTTGTGGCTTTGGGGGTTTGGGGGTTTAAGGATCTGGGGGTTCTTGCGTTCAATTTCTACAATCATTTGCCATACAACTATATTTTTGGGAGATGGGTGGCTTGAAGAAGAGTTGACTCCACACCCCCCCCCCCCAAACAAAAAAACACAAAAACAACTCTAGTTTCGCCACGGGGGGGGGGGGGACACAGGGTCATCCTCAATCAAGCTTTTCTGTTCAACGGGGCTCGTGACCACATATTAAACTCTCTATGTTGTATTGTTATATTTGATTTGGATCTATTAAGGGCTCAGTGGGGGTCCGCTTTCACACCTACAGTAATTGAAATGAAAAAAGTAGACAATTCCATTCGTTTAATCTTCACCGTTTGTAAATTTGTAAATTTGATGTCAGTGATATGATTTACTTGTCTAGACGTATGTCGTCCACGCAAGCAAGGGGCCTCTTGATGGATTTTGTATTGATGATGGTATGCCAGGTATTTCTGTCTGCAGCCAGTCTTAATGCATCTGTCAGCCTTGTTATGAGATGCAGTCAAGCCATCTTTTGGTCGGACGGCCTCTGGGTCGATTTTTTGTGACGTTTGCTTTAACAGCAATTTTGGGGGTATTTTGTGGGTTTCATTCTTAGGACGTGACCAAAATATTTGAGTCTTTTAATGGAGATTTTTCCATAACATCTTGAAGGAGGTTGGGGGATTCTTTGATGTGTGTGTTTCGGATCTTATCTTGTCTAAGTCTTATCATCCCCATTATGCGAGGAGGCATGCCATTTCAAACACTTGAAGTCTGTTTTTTTTTTCGTTGCCTCATCAGAGGATTTATTAGGTATAACATGGTTTACATTCCAAGATACAATGATACAAATTAAACTTATATAATCACAAAGCAAGCACCATTAATGGCATAATAAAGAATGGAAATTAAGTTTTGTTTTGCAAAGCATTTAATTCATGATTAACATAAGAATCGTACTAATAATTTTGTTCAACTCTTTTGGTAAAAACATGTGCTTTCTGGTCACATTTATATTTGACTGACTTTCCAATCTTTTTATAATTTCTCTTTGGAAAATTTGTTTGGAAGCCACGTTTTGTTTGTCTATTCCTGTCATATTCCGATTATCAATCAAATTTCTAAATGGTCCAAAAAGTTATAGTTAGGAATAAAGTACAATGATTTTCACAATCATTTTGAGCAAGTATTGGATACTGGACGTCAATATCTTTACTTGGTATATATCTCTTAATATTTTGTTTCAGGTGTTTAATAAAGGGCTTGTATAGTTTGCATTCGATATATAAAATGCGTGATTAATATCCTCTTTGATATTACATTTTGGGTATACATTGTCATTAGATATTTCCCATTTGAAAAGCAACTTGAAGCCTGTTGCTATCTCCTTTTCTTACTGTCCAGGATTCTGCCCCATAAAGCAATATTGTCAGTGAAATAAAAACAGAATTATAGGGTTTTGTCAGATTTATTTAGCATTCTGCTTATTTCCTCTTTCTCTCCTATTTTTCTTGGATTGTAGCTTGTCTTTGCCAGGGACTGTGCCGGTGAAACATGCTATCCAGATCTTGCAGTTCAGACAATTGTGTAAGATGTCTTGTAATTTTCATTGTTTTGTTGTTTTGTTTTATTTATATTTGTAATTGTTCCTCGTTTTCTCTTCTCCGTATTTTTTTTCTTCTTCTTCTTCTTTGTTCTTCTTCTGCTTCTTCTTCTTCTTTTTTCTTTTTCTTCTTCTTCTGCAAACTACTTTTAATAATCGCTCTTTCGATTTTGGTTCCTCGCTTTACTTTTCTTTCTCAATATAAAAGAATACTAATTCCAGTTTTATCATGATATTAGGCTACATTTATTTGTGTTAAATATTGTAATAAGCGCATTGTCTTCGTCTGTCTTTCGGCACCTTCGTTTTTCACAATCATCCAGTTCGACAACTGATAACTGGAAACGATGAAACTCTAAACTCTTCTTTTTTATTTTCCCATTCTCGTTTTTATTTTTATGAATTTCCGTTTCTAATATATTATGTTGCTGTAATGTTGAAGATCATAAAAATCTTCTATCTCTCTATGCCTTTCCTTCGTCATCATCATTCAGTTCGACCACGGAACTGATGATCGGAAAGGCTGAAACCTTTCTGCTCACCGTCGAAGTCATGAACAGCGGCGAAGACGCTTTCCTCTCCGTACTCGACATCGTCGAACCACCTGGTCTATTCTTCGTCAATGTTCTACGATCAAACACAGTAAGCAACAATGTAAAGTGGCTTCAATAATTGAGGGGGATATGGCGTCTTCTTCTTTTTTTTCTTTTTCTCTCTCTCTCCCTCTCTCTTTCTTTCCCTGTAAATTTATCATTTTTGTTGGTTATCTCTTTTCTTTTCTTTTCTTTTGACTGACGAGAAATAACATTATTTGTGAACTTGAAGTTGTAAACTTGGAGAAAAATTGATGAGGTAATGAAAATTAACATACCATGGTAAATACCATTCCAATGGCTTTTGAAAAATTGACCAAAAACCATTACAATAGCGTTGTGTCACTATGAATATGACTGACAAAGAAAGCGGACAAAATATACAGTTCCTCAGGTACAGTGTAGACAAAGGAACATCCTTCACTGCTATTATGTAAAAAGTGAATATGCATGTGACACCTGTTCTACACATTTTTACATAATAGCAGTGAAGGGATGTTCCTTTATCTACCTGAGGAACTGTATATTTTGTCCGCTTTCTTTGTCAGTCATATTCATAGTGTGTATCACCTTGTGTAAGGTGAAAACATCACGATGACGTAATGAAGTAATCCGAACTTGATTTGTACAGAAGATACAATGAGGTATTCAAGACGCCCTTAAATTTATTTATCGAAAGCCTTTGCGACCGGGTTTATAGCTCATGTCTTATGTTGCATCTCTCAAGGTCAAAGGTGAAATAATCCCCTGACTGAAACTGAAACTTAAAATCTCTGTCATTATTGTCCACAGGGTATCATTGTATCGTGTTCTGTATCGACAACCACACGCATACGCTCATGTAATATTGGCAATCCTGTACCAGCCGGTGATCAGGTAGGAATTAATTCATTACAGACTTTAAGAAATGTTAATTACCAAAAAGTTTAAGCCGGTCTAATGAATTGTACTTGAGTGAATTGAATCGAATTAAAATGAATTAAATAGACCAGTTTACAAATACGTTCAAATCGTAGATGTTTTATTTCCTTGGGACAAAGTGATGAGTTATCCATTAACCTGTTATCAGTGAATGAACTACAATACTCGGAAACCAGGGCGCATGCACTACTTGTTGCTATGTTGGGCAAGCATCAGGCTAGGTTTCAGGTTGTCAAGAACAACCTTTGTTAACAAATTATGCATAAAATATGAACATGTTACTAATCCGGTGAATTATATTGAATTGAATTAAATTAAATTGTAAGGCATTGGTGTCTGAATCACAACTTTCTGTTTTCTCCCATAGATTACTGTAGGCCTACAGTATCAGACTGCTACCTACAGTACATTCACTGGGCCAGCTGTGTTGAATATATCAGCTCGCAGGTAAAGCTTTTCTCTTTTCATTTCATTTCATAAATATACTTTGCTCTCAGTGTTGAACATTTCGTTTACTTTCTCCAATATCGATTGTTTTTGTTTTATTTAATTTTTATTTGTGTATTTTCTTGCACGGGAGTTACTCTTATTATAGGTACATTTGATATTTAGTTATATGTTTATCGACTTGTATATTTCTTTTTGTTATTATATAATACTTCCAAACATCCTTTTTAAAATACATAAGAGACCAAGAATATATTTGACCCTTTAAAAAGGTCAAGTAGTTTTTGTGCATCGTTGAATGGACTTAGACCTTTAATCTCGACATTCTGATTTTGATTTGCCATATAGTATTGATGCAGAAAGAGCTGGGAGAGACGTAGATAATGAGGCCATGGTGTCCATTCCAGTCTATGCTACTTCGAGTCTTGTACTCTCTGGGTAAGTATAAGATTCCATTCCTGTAGGTTTCTTTTATCTTAACACCTGTGTGGAAAGTGGCAAATGTAGATTAATATCTTGCCAAAGGACATTAGTGCCGTGGCGGATAGAAGGCACTGGACGGCGAAACAGCCTGTTAGGTCTGCCGTTGATTATTATTATTATTAATTTTTTAGAGACATGGTATTCCTTAAAAGTTTTTTGTTGTTTGTTACATTATTTTTATGCCTCCGCCACCGAAGGTGGTGCCGGAGGCATCATGTTTTCGGGTTGTCCGTCCGTACGTCCGTACGTCCGTCCCGTTTGACCGTTATCACAATATCTCAAGAACCATTTAAGATTTAAACTTAAGACTCGGGAATAGTATTTATCACCATAGGAAGACGATCTGATTAGATTTTGGAGTACGTAGGTCAAAGGTCACAGGTCACAGAGGTCAACTTATGAAATTCCTTGTATTGAGTTTGTTAGCGCGATATCTCAAGAACCATTTGAGATTTAAACTTCAAACTTAAGGATAGTATGTATCACCATAGGAAGACGATCTGATTAGATTTTGGAGCACGTATGTCAAAGGTCAAGGGTCACAGAGGTCAACTTATGAAATTCCATACATTGAGATTGTTATCATGATATCTCAAGAACCACTGGAGATTTAAACTTCAAACTTAGTGATAGTGTGTATCACTATATGAAAACAATCTGATTACATGTTGGAGCACGTAGGTCAAAGGTCAAGGGTCATAGAGGTCAACTTATGAAATTCCATACATTGAGATTGTTATCATGATATCTCAAGAACCACTGGAGAATTTTCACTTCAAACTTAAGGATAGTATGTATCACCATAGGAAGACGATCTGATTAGATTTTGGAGCACGTAGGTCAAAGGTCAAGGGTCACAGAGGTCAACTTATGAAATTCCATACATTGAGATTGTTATCATGATATCTCAAGAACCACTGGAGATTTAAACTTCAAACTTAATGATAGTGTGTATCACCATAGGAAGACAATCTGATTAGATTTTGGAGCACGTAGGTCAAAGGTCAAGGGTCACAGAGGTCAACTTATGAAATTCCATACATTGAGATCGTTATCGCGATATCTCAAGAACCACTGGAGAATTTTCACTTCAAACTTAATGATAGTATGTATCACCATATCATAATATCTCAAGAACCACTGGAGATTTAAACTTCAAACTTAATGATAGTGTGTATCACCATAGGAAGACAATCTGATTAGATTTTGGAGCACGTAGGTCAAAGGTCAAGGGTCACAGAGGTCAACTTATGAAATTCCATACATTGAGATTGTTATCATGATATCTCAAGAACCACTGGAGATTTAAACTCCAAACTTGTTTAAATTGCTCTATGGCGGAGTCATCATTTTCGACTGCGCGCAGTCAAAATTCCATCTAGTTGACATCTATTTCTCTTCCTTGCTCTTGACAGCAATTCAATTCCAGACACGCTGGTGATAACAGAGGATAGCAACGTAACAGATGATAAAGGGCCACTCATGACACATGTGATTCGAGTAAGTATACATTACTGATATTCATGAACAATATTACTCAAATGATGGTAAATACCCATACACTTATAAATTATATAAACTAGTAACGAAAAAACAGAGGCAGCGATTTGTAGTTATCACTTGTTCAAAGATGTAGTCACCTTTTTCGGAAATAGATCATTAACCTTTCTCTCTCTCTGTCTCTGTCTCTCTGTCTCATTTCTCTCTCTCTCTCTCTCTCTCTCTCTCTCTCTCCTCTTTTTCTTACTGTCTCTGTGTCTCTTTCTTACTTTCATTCCAACCTTTTCTCTCACCTTCTTTATTCAGCTTCAAAACAACGGCCCTAGCTTCATCGGCCCCTCCACCATCGAGATCCTCTGGCCAATCAGACTCCAGGATGGCAAGACGCTCATGAACGTGACGGGCGTTACCATGGATACAGGGATGCCATGTACGTTTACTCCAAGGATCAACAGAGACAGTCCGAAGCAGGTAAGATGATTCAAAACACGATCGCACAGACTTTCAAGATATCTTCTACTTCTACTTCTACTTCTACGACGATACTCAGCAGGATCCATAAGTCAGGATGTAGTGCTGATGAATAAACTATCATCTCAAGGGAAATTCGAATACCTAATTGCAATGCCTGTAGAAAATATATTTGGATCACTTGTAGTCCTACATCATTGTAAATAGTCACAATGTATGTCCCAAAAACATAAACATATTATCAAGTACTAGTTGATTCTTATCGTTTATTACTTCTCAATGTTTTTTTTTTTTGTGTCGCTACCATTCCTCATTTCGTCCTTTACATCTTCTCCTTGTGTTCTCTCATTTTTGTTCTAATCATTTATACCTAACAGAACAACGTCACTACGTTCATAGACGAAGTTAGTAATTCTACAATTTACACGTTATGGGCGGATTGTGCGTCACTTCCAGAGTGCGTGGCCATCCGGTGTCCTCTCGCCTCTCTCGCTACCGGAGCTGACTCAGCCATCCTCATCAGCGTGCAGTCGAGGCTATGGCATGACACAGTGTTTGCGGTAGGTTTCCCATCATCCCACTATACTTCATCTGGGCCACTGTCCTCAGATAACTACAATTACGACCCCGTCCCCCCCCCCGTAAAAAAATAATTAATGAATGAATAAATAAATAACTGTTCAAATAAAAATAGAAGATCTATAGAACCATCTGGACAACTACACATGGAACCATTGGCAGCAGGGCCCCGTCTTAAGAAGAGATGCGATTGATCCAAATCAATCGCAAGTCCTCTTAAATTGTTGATAGTCTAAGAGACAGCGCCTTGTATCCTTTGGAAAAGGCGCTATATAAATCCACTTATTATTATTATTATTATTAATATCAATCAATCGCAAGTTTGCAATTGATTTGAATCTATTGCAAGTCTTTATAATACGGGGCCCAGGACATGTATAGAGCATGACATAGGACCAACGAAAGCTAGGAAAAATATAACAAGGACCGATGTGACTTAGGACCACTGGGACAACAGAAGAATCGACGTATAGGAGGGGGGGGGGGGAGGGTGATTGAAGAAGAATATGGCCAATTGGACCCGAGAAAAAAATGTATGTAAATAAACGAAGGGGGAATCGGACCAAGGTAGATGCAACAGAGGCTAAAAGTACATGTGAATAATCACAAGTCGTAGCAATGCGGCAGAAGACTATTCACAAGACGCGGGACCGATGGAGGATGGTACGGCTTTGGGGCGTACTAAATGACTTGTGATCGATGCGATATCTGATAGTCCTAACACTAAGTTTTATCTTTCAAACACAGGAGGATGCATCTTTCCTTCATTTCATTGAGATCCTGTCCTCAGCATCAGTCACAGTCAATGGCACCGTGTACCCGGGGATACCTTATTCTCCGCACCCCACTGCTACACCTCTAGAGGTAAGAATCTGTTTATGTTTATTTTTCTGTATCTTTTCTCTTAACTTCAAACCATCATCACAAATTCGAATGTCGCAGTTGTATCTGAATGCAAAATCACTCATGCTACCCTGTTATTCTAAGTTGGTATTCATCATCAGTGAGAGTTTGTATGGAAGATTAAAGTGCATCGCTTCTCTCTTCTTTCTTTCTTTAATGGGATTTGTTGTGATGCACTTTGTTTCATTCGTACTCTCACAGTTTAAACTGTAAAACGCGCAAATCGTCCCTCCTCTCTCCTTTAAAAACACCAAGATTCTTCATATTAACCATCAAGTCTAATTTTCAGGGAGTTTATTTCACAGTGAAATCGCATCACCAATACTTAACACCTGGACCCATTTTTACATGATCTACATCTAGATCCAGACAGAAGTCCGGGTCCAGTATGAGAAGCAAAGGACCATTATCAAGACCACGCCCATTTGGATCTATATCGTCTCCTCACTAGGCGGTCTTCTCATCCTCATCATTTTTATCGCCATTCTATACAAGGTAATTAGGGACTTTTATATTTGCACGTCGACATAGTGGACTGCTACGTGGTAGTGCCTTAAAAGGACGTCACACGTAGCAGCCCACTATGTCGTCGTGCAAATCTAAAAGTCCCTATTATTCCCGCGTCTGAACGTAATCCACAGTGCGGTTTTTTTTTTTTGCCTGTGCTAATCAAGCTGATGGATGTAATTAGTACATACGCCGGTAAAATAAAGCAACGTGTTGCATTAATTGTATTGCATTCACCTTTTTGTACGATATTACTCACATGTGTCGCGTCGGGAGACGTGCCAGTCACTGACGCTGTCCTCCGTCTGGCAAATGACGCATGTGACGTATGAGGCACCGTGTCAGTGACTGCTGCCCTCTTTGATGCACCATGTGAGATAAGAGTGACGTGTTACAAACCTTGCGTTGCATAATTGGCGTACAAGCTAATTGCTTGCACGATTATTCCAAGTACTATCGCAATAAAATTAACGCCTCGTGTACAAATCGGGCTTAATACCTCCAGTCATCTGCCAATCACAGAGCCTAAAGAACCCGAAAAACTACCGATGACCGGAAAATATCGGCCATTCAGGTTGATGTAATAGGTGTCGGTCCATCGTGCATCTGGAGAAGGTCTCGTTAACGTTACTGGGATGTTTAAGATCGAAGACATCCATGAATATGAAACCACAATATTTCAAACACAAAATTTCACTTTTTTTAAAAAACCAATGTTTTTTTTAAATGTTCTTGAATATTGTCTGATTTATATTATATATAACCGATCGTCAAGGCCCTGAAATAAACCGTCGGTGTAGGACCTTTCGAGCTGCTGGAAAGATCGGTACACCTTCACAAATGCTAGCACCATCTGCAAGGAGAACATCACTACCAGCAGCAAATTGACAGGGAACAGACACAGGATTTGTGGACTAGTCACATTTTGTCTGCTATATGATACATTGTACATTTGAGTCCGCAAGCTACTGAGAAATCTGATAACAAATAATAACATTCTTTCTCCATCTAATTACCTTTTAGGTCGCGTTTTTCGAACGTAAAGTAGTAACCCAAAAGCATCGGGCAATACTGAATGAAATTAAGAGGGGTACTCGTTCATATGATGATGCTATTCGTATGTCCCGCTTTATGAACCCGCTCTTTGACGGAGGTAGACTTAAGTTTGTATTTTTCTCTTTGATTAGATCAGAGGCCAAACCATGCATATTAGCCAGTCAGGATAAAGATCGATTTTCTGCTCATACCAAAGTAGCGTTTTGTCGCTATTGTCCAAGAACTGTAGTTAGAGGGCGTTGCGGTAAAGGGGGAATTGACTTTAAATAGGGAATGTCATCGCTAGAGTGTATTGATATTTCTCAGTTCAGGGCTCAAAAACAGCGTTGAGATTGGTTCTAATGAATCGCCATTTAATATCAATCTCTACTGTGTACTAAAGAGATTGTCAATTTGTATTTGGCTAAAGGAATTACCATTGATAAGGATAAATCAAAAATCTATAATATATCAAAAAAAGGCGGCCCTGGCCCAGATGATGAATACATGAAATAAACTTTAAATTTACATAAAAGAATATATTATATTATAAATAAACTATATTCCATAAAGAGAAACTTTCCATTGCGAAATCAACTATGGCACATCTTGTACATATGCGAACCTTTTTGGCACATCTTGGACAATAGTAATAAAGCGCTTTTCCGGTAACAGTGGAAAGTTGGTAGAGATCCAGGTTGTTAGCCAGCCCCATCTTTTGACATCCTGCGAACAATGCTGCCATTAATTCAGCTTGCGTTTAGATCACATGGCTATAGTAGAGAATATATGGTTAAATTGAGCTGTTACAGGTTTGAGATCGACATGATGGATTTCTCAATTCGATGGTGCTGAGGAATTTCATGATTTTCTTGAATGATGTAAAGGCTCCTAAGTTTTACCTCAGGTGGACTTAAAGGAAGCAAAGAAGAGCAAATGGTACGAGACGGTTACCAATAAACGAGTGTGGAATAACCCCTAAATGGATTGGGTATCTTTGTCTCAGATTCTGAAACAAACTTGAACTCCTGGATATAGCTCATGCTGCAATCATAATTATAATCATTTAGGTCAGCCAGGAACCACATGACTTTTACAAGCCTATCGCCTGTCTCATTATCAAGATATTTATGATTGGAAATCAAAATTTCAAAATTCCTTTTGCTAACAGTTTTTATAACACTGCAGTCTATAGGGGAAATGAGTAAGGTAAAATCGGTCACTGAAAGATGTTTACTTTTCCGAGGCACTTGATGATCATTTTGAAACGCATATTTTTTTGGTAAGGGCCTCAATATTACACCATATCAAAGTCACTAATAACATGTAGGGCCATGCATCTCAGATTTAACATCTTCGTCGACATTACCATCATCATCATCACCCCGTAAATTAAGACGACATCGGCGTCTCGAAACATGGTCCTTTAACAACATTAATGCATCATCATCCCTGCTGAACAAAGGGATTGTCATCATCTGTCGTTAATAAGGACACCATTATTACTTCAGCAGAGTATCATCAACATCCCTAAAAGTGTATCGGATCGTCGTCATCCATAACGATTGCGCTATCATCCCTAAACGAGATCCTCACGATTCATTGTAACATTTAATACCATTACCAGTTGCCTATCAGCCTATGTATTTTGTAGCCAATGTGCAGAGCCATCTTCTCATTTATGTAGTCGGTCAACGAAACCATTCCATGAGAACATGGTGTAGGATGGGCCGTATCTTAACGCACTTCTGTCATCTTCACGAAACTTTCCTTCTTCTTCTTCTTCTTCTTCTTCTTCTTCTTCTTCTTCTTCTTCTACATTTTCTTCTTCTTCTTCTTCTTCTTCTTCTTCTTCTTCTTCTTCTTCTTCTTCTTCTTCTTCTTCTTCTTCTTCTTTTCTTCCTTTGCTGGTATATATCCGATCAAGACCATGTATCATCCATGTAAAATCTTTTCTCACCCAGGTGAAGTTCTTCCAGCGGAAACAGATTAGTCAAGAACAGCGTGAGCTTCTGACCGAGCACCGGAAGAGTGTCCGTCGTTCCAAGGCGGAGGCCCCTTCACCGGATGACATGGAAGTATCGCCCCTACAAAGAGATGGCTCCGTGGCAGGCCTCATACAAGAGTAACACTAATAATGTTATGTTTAAAACTTGGAGCTATTTTAATGGCAGATCAAGAGGGCAATAGGGCATGTGCACCCCCCCCCCTCGATATAACAAAAGTCTCCTTTTTTACTTTTGTTTTGTAAGTACTAAAATATTTTGAAAAAGCCTTTACCACATTGTTTTCGTGCCCCCCCCCCCTACCACCGATCGCAACCTCCATTTCCGGCAAAATCTTTGAACCAATAAGATCGCAGAGAATGCTAGATCCGTCAATGGATTATCTAACACTATTAATCTGTCTGACATGTTGGACATGAAATGAACTGCGTATTCAATTTCAGATGTATAGGGAAATGTTACATATAGAAAACGATCATGTAAAACCAAGAAAGTAATCATAATCACATGATCGCAAAGACTTTCGAAAAATGAACATATTAAAGGAATTCCAAGAGTCACGTCTGTCACTTATTAATATGTCTGAGCATAAGCACTGGACGAATTATGTAATCTCCCTACGGGATATAAAATTGGATATTGGAATAGACCAGTTTTGTAATTTTATCAAACAAGCCATGATTTTTGTACTACCTAGCAACATTCATTGTTTGTAATACGCATTCTGACTATTATTAAAAATACAATTATTTGAACAATGTGAATGAATTCATTTGTAACGAGGTACTTCACAAAACTTTTGTATATTAGATTTGATTAAATTGTGAAAATGGCCAATCGCCCTTGAATTCATCTCTCAAGAAGTTTAGCGATCGTGTTTCTGAGGCAGATGACTAGATTACGTCACTGACACAGCACCGTGTTCTGCATCGTCTTTATATTTTCAACTCAAATTATAAAAATCTGACGAAAAGTATGTGTCTCACCAACATAAAATTTAGCTTTTATATAATTCTTCATTTTGTTTGACAATGTTAATAATGATAAAAATGTAACTTATATAGCGCTAAATCCACTCTATGGAGTGCTCAAGGAGCATCTAGAAATAATTAAGAATTATTAAAACAGAAGCGTTCTCACATGATTTTTTTTAAGAAATCAATTCAAAGGTTTAAATATGTTTTGTGTGTGTATTTATTTAATTGTTGTGATTATTCTAATAGCGATAACTATTCTGTACAGTACTATTTTCAGATGACGATTGTAGTAATATATGTAGCTTTATAGCAATCGAATAATTGAAGATGCAATATAATGTTATGTAGTACGTATACGATATCGTGATTGAATAATTGTGTCGATGTTGATATTGTTCATGTTTATACTAGTTTATACTAGATTAATCATTAATTAGTCATTAGTCGTGATGAAGATAATTGGTTTGATATTATGTATTACTTATGATGATGATGCTGATAATGATATTGACGATGATGATAATGATGATGATGATGATGATGGTGATAACAATGTATATAATAAAGATTTAGTGTAGACAATTTGAATCTATCAAAGCGGTGATTTGCTACTTTTTGTATACTGAGCACCATGCCTTATAAATATTTCATTAACAAAATAATGTTATTTGTCATTGAGATGTTAGCTGTTCTAGCGGCACGTTCACTTGGTCAGCTCTCTGTCTTCGCTTACAAACTGACCCAGGCGACCCCGGTTCGAAACTAGGGACTTTTAGATTTGCACGACGAGAACGACGAGAACGACGAGAACGTGTAACATCCTTTTAAGGCAATGTGACGTCCTTTTAAGGCACTGGCAGTGACGTCACATTGCCTTAAAAGGATGTCACACGAGCATTCCACGTTCTCGTCGTGCAAATCTAAAAGTCCATATTGAGTCACGTCTTACGAATGGTGACGATAAAGGTCGGTCCTCAGACGTAAATAATCATATCTGATTGATACACGTCTGTAAAAACCTAATCACATACTGCTAGCTGTCAACCTTTGTTATATTTTAAAAATGAAATATATAGGTATTCCCTAGAAGGCCCATGAAAAATATTGCATCTAAAAAAGGATGGGTAATTAATGCACAAGGGGTTGGCGACCGACCCCCCCCCCTTCCCCTCCCCTTCCCCCCTACGCCTTGCCCTATAATTATCGTAATCTAGATCCGCCATTATTAATTTATTATAAGTGTTAGTAGCGCTCTATTTGTGACAGATGGCGTACGAGAAAGAGAACAATGAATCAAATGCAAAATGGGACCGATACCTAAAATTTGATCATGATTGTTTAGCATCTTTTACGATGAAACAGGAAAGGGTGTAAATTATTTTTTAAGACTTCAGTACAATTTCGTAGTTTTTATAAGTACTACATCATAACCTTATTTTTGTGTGTGCTACTTTCGATAGTCTATATATATATATATATATATATATATATATATATATATATTTGTGTTGTTTATTGCATTTAAAAAAGATGGTCTAGTATTTTTTATAAAGACTTCTTCATTTTGTAGTTGTATTAAGGATTTAAATGTACTCAGATAAAACATTGCTTACTTAAACAGTTGTGCATTTCAAAAGTTTATATTCTAGCAAAGACACACACATATACACGCACAATAAACACATACACACACACACACACACATACATATATATTTTCTTCACGCCTAAATTTTCTGGAACACCCTTTGTCATGTCAGAGTTGAGAATTCTCGCGCTTTTATATATATATATATATATATATATATATAAATATAAATATAAAACTTATACATAAATATAAATATAAAACTTATATATAAAAGTTAACCGGAATTTGTTTCTAAGATATTCAATGCAGCACCACACCATATTCGAAGATTCTAAAATAACTCCTAAAAAATGATCGTCTATATAGTGAGGGTATTTACCAGATTTTAGGTTTATACCCTACACGTACTATATAGTACGTGTGTTTGTGTGTCGTCTTGAACATAATTTCTTAATGCGTTTAGGACTCACTTTGTGGATGTTTCTATGATAACATTAAGAATACGTGCATTTGGTATATCTAAATTGTATGTACCATGTCACACGAGTGAAGCGTAAGAAATTTAGAATCGTAGTGTTATATGAATAAATTTTTAAATTCCTTTCGAACAATACTTTTCAGATTTTGTGAACATTTCAACTGACATCAAAGCCATCTATACACAGAGTTTAGCGAACTTGGTTTCACTGGGTCACAACATGGCGTATATTCTTTTGTGTTGTGCTTGCCCAACAAAGCAGTAGTCGCCATATCGTGTCGAACTCGAACTGGATTGTCCAAACTATGTGTATAGATTTCGCCGACTGACATTAAGGGACACTAACTGACATGACAGTACAGCGCCATCACTAGGTTGTAAGTGAAGAGAAAGTCACTTATTAAAACAAAAAGACACGTAGTTTGGTATGTGGTATTGCAATATTATGATATTATTTTGTTTTGTTAATGTGTGATGAAATGATTGAATACATATTCCAAGGTATGAGTTGTATAGTCGTCCAGAGCAACCAAGAAACAAATTAACGTCTTCCACTGTACAATAACAAGATTTGCCTAAAATAAACTTTATCAACTTGTTCGTGCCTTAAACATTGTCTGTTATTGATCATTTTGTTCGTGTCTAGACCACTAAAAGCTTTTAAAGATAAAACTCCTTTCATACAAAATTTCCAAATTGAAAACGACCTTTTTGATAAATATGCCCATTGGATCCTACTGTCCAGACAACCACCGTCCGGACGATTACTTTCTTTGATGGATATCCGTCTACAATGGCCGTAATGGGTGTTCGCCATAAACCGGCGTTTTTCCAACCGGGTGCCGCAAGATATCTTTAGGGGAGGCGCAAGGGAAATTTAGTTTATTACAAATTATTTTGGAATAAGGTCAATTACACACCACCACGGATTTTTATTAGGAAATAACGTTTCTCCCTCTCTGGTGTCACTCGCTCGCAACAGTTAAACAATTAGGATGATTTCAGGCAGCAGAGTGACCAATATTATCTTCATATTTAGACAACGAGGTTCCCGAATATCCTATTTAAAAGCGGAGTGTCCGAATATATCTTAGGCGCCTTGGATCTATTCGAGTGGCTGTAATCACGCGTGCTTCCTGCAACGCAGCCTAGTTTGCGTGAAAGCCGCAATCGTCCTAATCCCTCTATTCAAAAGACGCATGCGGGAATCCACCACAGAGCGCGACCTACTCATAGTCATAGTGCTTTCAACTGATACCAGTTGACCGCTCTCTATAGTCCTGGTCTGCCATGTGTTTTTAACTCTCAAACTATGCAGGAGCCGCGGAACCGGGTGGCTGGGGATTTTTTTTTTTAGGAGACACGTTTCATAAAAGCTCCGAAAAAGGGGTTTATAGATTGTTCGCATGCTCAGAACCCCCCACTTTCACAAACGCTCCGCGGAATGAAAGTCACATATAAACGTGGCTCATACGGATCACACAGGGACTCCGAGTTGGATTAAGAAACTGATGTATAGTTTGAGGTTTGCTCTTCCATTTTAATTTTATTGAAGTAAGTTTATTTCATGTGTTTTATAAATAAATGAGTGATGTACCTAGCCACCCCTATCTAGGGTACTGCTCCAGCGTTTCCGATCTCTTCAACATCTCGTTTTAATATCCAGGATTTTGAAATGATCCAACTTCACTAGGCTGGAGACTACAAGAGAAACAGCAGTGTGACTGGCATGATCCTCACATTTTATGTTTGTCTTTCGTTATGTTATTTGTATGTTCTTTACTTATCTGTAAATATCAATATTATAATCATGTATGTTTTTTATATGAAGAATGAAATAAAATGAAAAAAAATGAAAATTTAAGTGGTTTGTTCTATCTACTAGGCTACTAGACTGGTGGAGAAAAGTAAAAACCGTGTCTTTGTCATTCCTTTGGCAGCTTTATTTTCCTATCACCAATCGCTAACATGGAAGAATCATGACATGATTCTCTACATGTACCAAGCCGAGAGCGACATAGACATGTTTTCATTTGCCCAACCCTCTATCTCTGAATTCAACAACCTGCCAGCAAATACAGTGCCAGCTGAATGTCCAGAGAACCCTAAAATGACTACTCCTGAGGAATATTATGGCTTTGTCCACTCTCTCACATGTCACCTTCTTCTCCCAGTCTCTATCTCTCTAAATATCTCTTCTTTTCTCTCTCTCTCTCTCTCTCTCTCTCCTTCTATTTAGGACAAAAAATGAAATTCTACTTTAACTATATGTCTCGTTATAACTGGACAAAGAAAACTGATCTGAGTGACATCTCTGCTAACAATGTACGTGCTGATCACATAAGCGGACCATTTTTTTTTTGTGGTCTCGAAATTTGAAAATTTGACATTTTGCTCCGTTGGGGGGGGGGATAAGGACAGCTTTCTTAGGTCAGCCATGGGGGTTATTTTTTTTTTTTTTTTTTTAATATTTAAAAAAAAAAAGAAAAAAAAAATCCAAAGGGGGGGGGGGGGGTTTTAGAAATTTTTTAGGGGGATTTACACACATAAAAATACCAAAGGGGGGGGTTAACCCCCCAAACACCCCCCCCCCCCCCTGCGTACGCGCCTGATGATGATTCACATCATTTGTATGGCTCCATATATCTGTTTAAAACAACACTCAAAGGAACGAGCTTCTCAAATAAAGTTAGCATTTAAATGTCTGAAGGAAGATGTGAGCTATATGGTCAATAGGCTGGCATTAAACAAGTTATTGCAATGTTATCAACTCTAATGATATCAATCACGACGGCAGCTCTAATTTGTCTACTTGAAGAAAAGAAAAAAATCTTTAAAAACACACACACACACACACCCACACAAAAACGCACGCCCGCGCAAACACGCGCCCCTCAAGACTAATTATATCTAAGTTCATAACTTTATTTCCTTTTTCAACAGTTGTAGAAGTATATAGAACAAAAAATCCATGTGGCGAAGAACTATGACGAATCAAAACACACGTGAAGTACAAAGTTGTCAAACAAACAAAACAAAAACTGAATGATGAAGAATTAAAAAAAAAAAATGTTTGCCTTCATTACCTCAATTGCTTAAAATGACATTTGAACACTGCCTTCTTAAGAACATCCAATTCCATGTCTCCATTTTCCCGCCGTTAATGCGATAACTTTTACTGTTCAAAACGTATTAAAATGAATCTAGTGCGAAACGAAACTATGTTTAAATTGGTTATACATGTACGTTAGGTCTACCATTTCAAATGAATCATATACTAGTATATACAGTAACTTACAAGATTATTGTCAAACGTAGATTAACAATTTTCCTGTAACCTTCAATTGTAATCAACACTTGTAAATGTAATATTTGATTTTCATCAACAAGCAGTATTTGTAATTAAAGTTACTGCTACATAAAACCGTGGGATGGAATTATTGAATAACTCTTGTTTAACGCTATTATGCTGTGGTAGGTTTTGTATATTGTCTAAATCAAGACTATTCTGCAGTCAGAAAAACAAGAATAATCAAGCGTCGTTTCCCTTTCGTAATCATTATTTGTACATGAACGGTTTCT